CCTCTGCGTAAAAACTTTATTTGCATGTCCTGCACGGTTAACAGCGGTGACGAAGACATCAAGTCATTTGTTAAGATTAGATAAATACCCACACGGCTGCTTAATATTCATATCCGGATATCCGTGCAACGCAGCGGCGCTGGGAACCCGTTCCTCGGAACTGTTTTTTGGTCCGGACCAAGTAATTGCAGATGACGGTGTAAGACGTTGGGTATAACCGGTATTTTGATTAGAATTCCGTTGTCCTATATGTTTATGTCATTTAACCGGACATCGGGTTAGTTGGAAAAAATGGAAAAACAGCAACGCTTTGGGATATTATACGACGTTTTCTCACGAATCTGGTAGTGTCCTGTAACGGAATTTTCATCTGCCTGATTTATTGACGATGGAAGGAACGTTGACAGGACCTGAAGTCCGGCGACCTTTAATCCAGTTTTTCCCATTGAGGCGCCGCGATAAGTTCCTACTCTTACCACAGACAAGAATAAGGGTTACATAAACATAACAAATCGGACCTTGTTTTCCATTCCCAATGATTTGAATACTAAATAAAGAGTTTGCTTTCTATATACAAACACTAAATGTTTTATGCGATATATACGGGTTTTATTTTATTGTTTGTTAAAGTAAATAAGGTCAGGGTCAGCTTGTTAAGACTTTTCTGGTTACACAGCTTGCGAAGGCTTTCTTTTATTCTTTAAAATTGTAGAATGGCTTTGAGAAAATAGCAAAGTATAAATATTTTGAAGGTAACAATGATCCGTTTTGATAAAGGAATATCTAATTAATGATATATAAAAACCATAAATTTATAGAACTAATATTTTGTTGATACATTGATCTTCTTACACCTTTTAGAAAGAATCTTTTACTCATTTTCTACCTTAAACTTAAAAGATATTTAAAACCTGATCGATCTGAAGCTGATTCTTTTTGCGGTCATGGTTTGCCTTTAGGTCTTGTTCAGAGGAGAACAAAAAACCTTTGCGTGTCAGAATGTAGGCAACATAATAAGCCTCGAAAGCCAAACTGAAATCCGGTTTGAGTTTTTGAAATCAAGTAGCTGGATGTCCCTTGAAAACAATGCGAATGCCAATTCTCCTGTCTTGGGAATCCCTTTGGCCCTCTCGCCTAAGCCTCTTATCACCGCACATTCCACGTTTTGATCAACTCAACTCGTGTTAATAACGAGACAATTCTGACAATAAAGTGAAAACTTTATCGCGCACACTGACATATTCATTAGGATGTCCTTTCTCAGGATGACATCGGTCTACAGAATACAGCAAAACAGAACAGAACAGAACATCATCCTTTTTCTTACTATACACGCGCTAATCAAAGGGGATGAATGTCCTTCCGGCCTTCTATATCGTGGTTGCGATAAGTTGCTGTGGTAAATGCAGTGGCATTTCTGAAAATGCTTTCACAACATCCTTCAGGTAGCAATCAAAATATTGTCCTAATCATGATAATTTGTTAAGCAAACGAGTTGGCAAAACTTTTGCCTCATTTCGAATTTCACAGCTGACCAACGTAATCTAGATTGACGATATTGGTGGGGAAGGTTGTTTTTATTCAGTAAATTTAGTAAATAAACTTAAACTTAAAATCCTTTAATAGAAGTTTAAAATTAACGAATGCTTATAATTTTCTGATAAATCATTGCTTAAGCCTTCAGTAAGTTCTTAATTTGAACAGCTTTATCCATAGAAAACATCTTAAATAAATTCTTAATATTTCTAACTTTCCTCTATGCCAACTTTTTAAATCAGAAGAATATCGCCAGGACGCGAACCGGTTAGGAAAAACAAAAAGGCAAAGAGAAGGCTGATGACAAAGTCTCTGGTTCAGCTTTGATGTTCGCAAGGACAAAAGAGAAACAATGCAGACTAAAGGGAGCAAAAAATAACTATTGTAACGTAGAAAAAAGAAACACTTTTTTCACCAAAAGACACAATAAATTGCAATTTATATCAAAAGTTGTATTCATCATCATCAGCCCAAGCCAAAATTATGCAGTATCTGTGAAGCGCAATACTAGTACAAAAGTACACAAATCTTTGTTAGTTATCTACTCGGGTATATATTTATATATATATATGAGTATTTATATATACATATATATCATCGGAATGAAAGGACAAAAGTAATTTTTGCTGTAGAGCCTACATTTTATTCTGCGACGTAAATTAAGGGCCAAACCAATATGTACTTGACTGGACTGCAAGTTGCACTTAATAAGACGATAAGAAAGGATTAAATTTTCAATAAAAATGCAAGGTTAAGGATATGTAGAAATATTTCATTAATTATGTAGATGCAAATATAAATGTTAAGAAGTGTACTTTCCCTATGCAGCTCTTTTATAAGCATAATTGCTTGCTTTCTTTTTCAAATGCAAATTTCATATTCCAAATTATTAAAACGGATATTTCCACTCATTAACGTACTTGGGTAATTGAATTGCCAACAAATTCAATTTTCCAAAAATATGAATTATTCGAATCCAAAGATGATGACCTATAATCTAGGTAAAAGTCATTATGATTTCTGAGCCACAAAAAAACAAATAAACATCCGCATCGCGTTTTTCCATAAGCCTTTTTCGTGGTTAAATTGGGGGCAGAATTTTAATGGATCTCCAATGCATAGTGAGTCGCCTGGCCAGTCCAGTCACTACAATTGATCCCCTGGACAGTGGACGCCAATATTCGTGCGACTGAGTGCAGCCGGATGGCTGGAAAAGAATGGCCAGTCCACCGTTCAGTTCAGTTCGCGACTTAATCTGGCGCGATCGTTTTCCATCAAAGGGTTCCTGCTCACATGCAACTAATCTGATTGTAATTGAGGCATGCTAGAGAACGTGGATGTGGATGCGGATGCCAAGGAGGCTGGACACGCAAAACGCAGGAGTTTCGCTTCGATCTCGTAAAGGTAACTTGGTAGCCAATTATTCAAACGCGAGGATAAGAAACCAAATAAATTGACTTCAGCCAACATGGGCTTTAGGCGAGAATCAAAAAATCCATATGCACTCTACCCATATATGTTGATCACTTTGCTTCTGTAAAGGTTAAAGCATTATGTTTATCTTTACATCAAACAGAAGAGCCTTGCCTTAACCAGGCCCAAAAATGCTGAATGAGATCCGCATTAAGTTCACGCAAATTCCTCGCCATTTTTATGAACGCCCCAGCCATCCGCCACCGGTGCGGATGTGGTATCGATATTAGCAGCTCGATCGTTCCTTTCGTTGGCCAATTTCAGAGCCCTTTCCATTGTCAATCATATGCTTGAGGAATGTCAATCATTCGGTGTCTCATTTTGGGCTATTGAACTGGTACATTGAACTTTAGTTTGCATAAAGGGTTTAGGTTTATTATTTGGAAATACAACTTTTTGATAGAAGTTAACACTTGAATGTAATGAAGAATCTATAAAAGTTGTTTGTTTTAGTTCATGGAATCCATAAGCCATATGTACATACCCTTAGAAAGTTCACCAATGAAACCAATGATGCATATAGCAAACTCTACATCTCCTAAAGGAACACTACAACCATTCGCATAGCCACTTATTTTGGGCACTTGTATGGTGTGCCTGGTCTTAGTACCGCGCGATCTCGGCATCGATCGTGCGGGTTACGAGGCGACACAATATTGACAGCGGCTGGATCCGTCGATATGCCCAGGGGATTGGTTTTAAGTAATTTAATCCTCGCCCAGAACCAGAATGCCACGAAGATGTCCACAAAACGCTGCGCAGAATACAACGCCACACATGCAATGGCTAAAATGCGAACTGCGAAATGCGAAAATACGAAATGCGAAACATGCATACAGATCACGGCTGGCAGGCCGGATGGTCGACATGGATGCCGATGCCTGGGAGCACTGTCAGTCGCCTAATCATCGTAATAATTCGCCTCAACTTCAGCCGATGGCAGCGGCAATGGGAAGCCAAGCGGAAATTACCAACACGCGATATTTAATTTTTCCAAAAGGCGAACCAATAATTCGTCTTCATGCCGCTGCCGCTGCCGCTATTGCTGTTGTTGCCACTGCCTTGGCGGTTACTCTTTCGGTGACTGGTGCTGCTCCGGCTCCTGCTCCTACTCCAGCTCCTAGTGCTGGTGCCATTTTTTCGTGTTCAGCTTGACCGATGCCTTTGAAAAGGCTTTCCAAGGGAAAGGCAGGAGAGACTCATTAACGCTTAGCCCTGCTGCCAGGACTCCAATTCCGTCTACTGACCTCCATACACGCCAATAACAATGATCTTGGCCAGTGGCCATCTCGATGGTGTCTTCTCTTTATTTTTCTTAACAATCTGGCCAGCATAGTAATTGCTTCCAAAAATACAGATCTCAAATTTTGAATTATTCAAAAACGATTTTTTGGTAAAAATGCCCAACATTTTTGATAGTTTTTATGGTTTACCTAAAATAATTTTCCTCTTTTAAAATCGAAACGTTTCAGTGTACTTTTACGAAAAGGAATTTTTAGTAATTAAAAACTTATTTAATGTTTTTGTATCTAAGAAAGTTATGACATTCAAATATTTCTAAAATGTGGTTTCTAACTTTTTGTCAATTTGTCAAAAATGGCTTGAGAAGATTTTAAACTAAATTCTTCATAATTCAAAGAATATCCCAAAAATAGTATAAAAGAGAGTATTTTAGGATCAGTTGAGTTCAGCCAGAGTTCTATTTGTAAAACTTTTTATGGTAATCTATTACAAAATTAAAATATATTTACCATAAGTAAAAAATCAAATTTGAATTAATGAATTTAATTCATAAATTTTTTTGATAAATATCTCAAAGCCATAAACCAATACAGAACGAATTTAATGTTGTGATTCTCTCGCAAACTCGATTCTGTTTTCTCGGTGTAGAAAATCACCCCATTTCGAAATCACTGAAAATTAAAAACCCATTAAATAAGAAAATGCTGATTTTTGAATCTTGAGAGATTGACGCTTTAATTGTATTTTTGTTTTGTTAATAAATATTTTATTCGTTTCATTAGTAATTAGTTTATATGCTTATTAAGAGTTACGGAGATTACAGCAGTACGAAAACAAATCGATTGGAATGGCCGGCGAACGTGCCAAATAATTAAGCTACTTAACACAATTAGTATCTTGTTATTATTAAGTGTAGATGAATTGAGTTTGGTTTTGAAACAAGTTAGTAGTCACACAGTCGATATACCTAGTTAATACTAGCTATAGTATGCTGATACTAGATATTAATACCTGTTGCGGTGATATTAATACGTTAATTGATAAGTACAAATGGCATTTGCATTGCGAAATGATTCGTGTCTCGTAATTACTAAAGGTGGCTATTAACAATTAATTAAAAAAGTGGAGGTATTTACACTATCAACTAGAAACTAAGAACTAGAAACTAGATGGTATCTACTGCTCGGCATCGCTGGAACCAATGCTCTTGTCGGGAGTGTGGGATCTGCTGGAGGCCTTGGAGGCGCAGGATCGCACCGAAAGATCCTCCGGCTCGCTGTCACAGTAGCTTTCGTTGGAGGCCTCACTGTGGGCCAAGGGACTGAGGCGTTTCATTAGCGCCTCGTTGAAAGGATATGTCTCGAGATCGGGTTCCGAACCACCGTTGGCTATTTGGTTGGGATTGTAGGTGGGTGCACTGGGTCCACCACCACCGCCGGGTTGCATGGATGCTGCGGCCGCTGCAAAGGCCAGGAAATTCAAGCTGGCATTGAAGAGTTTGCACCAATCCAGCAGAGCTGCTCCCTGGTTATCGGTTCCGTTGGGAGTGGAACTGCTATTGGAGTTTGCTGGAGTTAGTGGTGCTATCACAGACGCCAGATCCGCAGGATTCGGGAAGGGAGCTGGCAGTAGGGGTATTGTTGTGTCCGGGAACATGGGTGTCTTCGTCTGCTCCGTGGCCAGAACTTGTTGTCCGGAACCATTGGCCTCCAGAGCATTATTGTTCTTATCATTGACTTGCTCCGGCTGATTGGATAGGGTGGCACGCTTGGCCGGATCTTTGGCCCAGTTCTTAACACTCAGCAAGGGATAATTGTTTTTGCTATAATCCTCTGATGCTGCGGGCGAATCAACCACTTTGTTGTCCTCCGATTTGGGTGCATCCACCGGAAGGACTTCGGCAGTCTGAGGGGTTAATTTGGAGTTGAGCAAGGCCAGTAAATTCAGCTGATGTAGCATGTTGTTGGAGTAATCCACCACGCCCGATTGACTTGGGTGCACTGCCTCGGGATGCAATCCGCCATTCTTTTTCACAAATTCCACTAGGCTTAGTTTTTCCAGCAGGGACTCGCCCTGCACTGGATAATCTCCGGGGGAGTAGGGCAGTGATCCAAAGCCCAGTTCTTCGTAATTTGGAGGCAGTGCCACAAATTTTGGGGGCAACTGAAGCTGCAATTCGAACTTGGCGCGTTTTTCCGGTGGACTATCGAGTCCCATGTGATCGGGACCCAACTGGCGGCACATGAAGCGCAGCTTCTGTTCATTCTTGCACCAACCACGCAACGTGGACTCTGGTACTCCGATATCCCGCGAAACACTGGCCTTTGTTTCACCATTATGGATGCGCTGAATGGCGCGCACCTTATCGTTGGGCGTGAGGTTCCTCAGCGGACGCTTGCCACGCGTGCTCATCCGGATGTTCATGTGCTGGTAGGCGGAGATATCCATGGTTCTATCGGTTTCAGTTTCGGTTACGGCAGCGACTACGATTTGAAGCGCGAACTTTACGGATGCGACCACCGGTGTGCACACCTCGAACTCGCAGAAGGATGTGATTGTGATTGCGATTCCGCGAAAGGCGAGCTGCGAAAGGCGACCGCCGATGATGAGCCGACGTTTTTGCGGCGAAGAGAACGGCGGACCGTTGGCTCGACCAATGGAGAACGGCGAGGCGCCACTCTCTCCTTTCTCTCTCTCTGTCTCTCTGCCACCACCACCAGCGCAACAACTTGTTACTCATGTCCCGCTCGCGCCTGATCTCTCTCTTGCGGATTTGCTATGCTCTGCAGGATATCGTGGCTCTCTTAACGGGACAGAGATAGTGAGAGAGAGCGATAGCATTGTCTTGGCCATCCTCCTTGGCTGCCCTCTTCACGAATTGCATGTGTGGTGGTGGTGCGGATATGCTGATATGTGCATGTGGCTTTCGATGTGGATGCACATTTCCAAATTGTCTCCTGCACGTGGCTGTGTGTATGTGTGTGTGTGTGTGTGATATTGTTCTCTTGTGTTTATATAAAAACCAGTTATTTACCTCCCATAAACATTCTCCACTGCGAGAGTGTGTTTGGCCAACCTTCTACCATCCGCATCCGCCTTCGCATGTGCGTGAACGGATCTGATACGGACGTGAACCTGGTTGCACTTTTGGGTCGCGAATCTTCCAAGAATAACACAATTTCACTCTGTTGTATTTGTTTTGGCCATCTGTGTGTTTGTACTAATTTTGTTAGTACTTTTTGCACGTTATTTATGGTAAATGTTTTTAGAGCAAAGAATTTTGCCCTCTTTGGATGAACCGCATTAGCCGTGCATAAAATATGTACAGCGTACTAACACACCTTCTAAACTTAATATAATCTTCAAATTACAAAAGTCAGCCTCGAACTGACAGAATCCGTTTGATGATACGTTAAAGAAAACTAAACAGTTTTCTAGTTTGAAAATACAAGTTTGCTAAACATATTTTGCAAGCACTGTAAATGAAATCAATAAAGAAAACAAACTAATTTTCTGCTTTGAGAAGGTAACTAAACTACTAGAGTACTATAATATATTTATACTCTATTAAAAAAAAAAAGATAGAAATCTTTATTATTATAAAATTTTGTTAGACAAACTTACCGATTACACATTTTACAAGAGGTGGAAGTTATACACTAAAAACTGTATCTTATTATAGCCCACACTCCATTTTGTGTTATTTTTTAAATCAATTAAAGATTTCTTGTATTGATAGCTTTATCACTGCACTCTTAGAGGTTGAATAAATAATTAACACTTACACAAAAATGGACTTATGATTTTGAAACACAAATAATCAAAGTCATAAATCAATTTTAATATTATCATTTCGATTAAAATTGAAGACATTTCCACAACTAATCATTTCACTGCAACTTTATGAAGAATACGTAACCCTTTGTTATAATCCAATTCTTCCAATGTGTTTATCTTATTCCAGAATAAATGATTTATTAATTAAGTTATTATTATTATATTTAATATTTTCTGTCGTGTTAACGAGTTGTCTTGTAAATTCTTTTAATTAATAAAGCGTCTGCGTGGGCAACTTATATTTGCTATTAGAAAACTAAAAAAAGCTTTTTATCTTGAGAAAAAATTGCAACAGCTGTGAGCCAAGAGGAAGAACTGCAATAAAAAGCTTTTCCCTAGATAAATATACCAAAATGTATCTAAGCTTATAAATGAATATTTTTTAGATTTTTAAGAAAAGCTGTTTTTGAAGTAAAAAATCCTTCACCAGTTAATGATAGAAAAGCGAAACACCATATCTAGTGATAAAAATATTGGTAATTTTTTTATTTAAGAAAATTGTTTTTCGTTATTGTTAACTAAACATATATAATCTTGTTCAAGCTCCAAAAAACTAAAATACTGTAAATATGTTTATGCCAAACTATGAAGCATAATTGTATTGCCTACTTTTTGGCGATCAGAACGTACAAAGATGAGTGGTAAGAAAATATATTTTGTTCATCTTCGTACACCTTTCAAAATAATTAATAAATATAATAATAATAATTAATGAATAGTAATAAATAAATAGTAAATAGTAAAATAATAATAATATTGATAAAAATATTAATTATTAAATACAAATTAATATAAATACATTGATATATCCAGAAAGTTTACCCTACTTACCACCCTATGTTATATCAAAGAGGAATCTTGTTTTTAAAAATGATTTATTCCGAGAATAAAGAAGACAACTTTTTAATTACTTTTTAATACTTTTTTTATTGTGTTATTAAAAGACACATTTTAGAAAGTAAGTAGCGTTTAGTATTTATGTTTGATTTACACATATTTAAATAAATTTTCTATTAACTATAATTTATTAGATTACACCTACATGTATTGATTAATTTTCGTGTCGCTGTATATTATAACTATATCATTATTTATTATTATTAAACAATTTTTATTTCATTTTTATTTGTCACAAAAATGTACTTTCAAATAAAATTTATAAAAAATAAAGAAAACTACCAAAGAAATTAAATTTTAGTAAAGATTTGGAAGCGGATTAAAAGGGAATCATTATTAAATAATAAATACCGCTTTTGGAATGTCTTTGCGATACACTAAATAAATATTTAAAGAAAAACATAAAATTTAGTGCAGTTAAAAGACGAAAATAAAATTTGTGTAATTTGATAATTACTTGCTGTATAAATATGAGGAAACGGTATTTATTTTAAGTCTCAATTTATACATACATACAAATTTAAATATATATACATAACCTATGTTGGCAGTCAGCCCTTACATTTTGTACATACACCTCTTTTATTGTTATTATATACATAATTTGTTTCAGTCGAAGGCTTATTAAACTAATTCTGAACGCATACGTCAAATGCACATACCCATAAATGTATATATCTTATTATATACTACATGCCTTACCTTACAGGTAAATAAAATGAGATAACTATTCGGGGGCATTATTTGTTAATTATTAATTGCTTTAACTGTAAACAATTTAATTTGAATATTTATGAGTGATCTTGTATTAAAAACAAAAACAATTTTATTGAGCAAAAAATAAATATTGGTTGGGTGCAGATTAAAATGGAATCTTGGCTTGTCATCGAATTGTATTTTAAAATTAATCACTAATTATTGGTAATCCTTTAACTTATTGTACTTGTCATGGAAATTCGAGTATTGCACTTCAATAAAATTATAAAACAAACATTAATCGTAGTAAAAGACTTAAGGTAAGATGACTGTGAATATGTTGATTCCGTTTTGCTAAAATCTGATCTGTGAGTATATTTATGGGAATTTATCAACAATCGTGAATATATGCGTGAACTTTTATTTAACACCCCTTAACTTAAATTTATTTTATCGTTAGTAACAAATGTTAATAGCTTATAGATAATGATCCCATTTGCCCAATGCAACGACCGCCCTCCTCATCGAAGGTGGCCAACGTTAATCGCGATAGCTTATTGCATAAGACTCCATTTCCATTATTTTGAATAGGATTTGGCTCTGAAATAAATAGTATTAATAAAAATTGTTAATAAACTAAGTTACCTAACAACTAACCATCATGAAAAGGTTCTTGGGTATTGCCCTCTTGCTTTTTGTTCCTTATTTGATCCGTAAAATGTGATATAAGTGCGTCTATCATGGCAGCTTGCTTGGAAAATATTTGCATCAGCTTCGATACTTGTATTCCATTCTCAACAGCATCGAACTGTAAGATAAATATTTATATACACTTGTTTATATAACAGGAAAAATCCCAAATACCTGCAAGAATATACAAGTGAGGCATTCGGGATCATCACTGGCACTTGGCTTTGCGTAATCCCAAGACAAATCCTCATAACGCAGTCCCAGGAGGAGAGTCTTTGGGAAAAATTAGTTATTCATTAGAACAAGGTGTTTTAGAAATTTAAGAAACCTATTTAAAACTTACACATTCATATGGATCTATTACAAAAACTCCCCTTTCATTAACTGCTACTAAAACTTCCATGTCCTTCTGGTTCACCAATGCCATAATTCCTCGAACAGGCTGCTCTATTTGACCATGGAAATAAGCGGCTCTGTAAGAATATATTTTTAATTAATTTTTATAAAACATCAACCTAAATTTAGAAATAAATACCCATAGAATGGTAAGGCCCAGCAAAATTCCAGGTACTTTCTCATCAACTTTCGGGTGGTAGCTGTCTGGGGAACTCTCTTGAACTGTTCCAAAAGCTTAACCTCCGCTGAGTTCTTCTGACTTATTGGTAGCCACAACCAAGTGGAGCTCTTGGCAACGTGTGGAGGCAAAAACCTAGCTTGGTTTTCCCTGAAAATTATAAATTTAAAGTTAATACTTAACTTGTTATATATATGAGATAAATGACTTACCGAAAGAATCCTATTGTATGGGTGTGGGAATTATAAGGACCCAATTCGATGCGGGCTTGAATGCCACCCAGCATGAGGGAATGTACTGGCTCCATAATATATCTACCAGTCAGCACATTATTTCTGGCCTCTTCATAAAGGAGCTCTAAGATTCGATGATCCCTGAAAGTAATTTAGTTTTTTATAAATTATATTTTAAAAGTATTTCCAAAAATTACTTTATTTTCTCTTCATCCCGCTTAGAGAAGAAAACGTTTCGTTTCAAAACTATCATCGGTTCGTCGAACTTTCGATCACTGGGACTGCTATTGCTGAACTTCTGGAGCAAGTTCGGCCACGCTACTCTCACTATATAGGGGCAGTGATGGGCCTTTAGCTGCATCTCCAGTAAAGCGCTTGTCATCCATAATCCGAAAACACTCTGGGCCAGCAATTTATTGGATATGCCAAGCTCTTCGCACCCCAAGGCAGCTGCCAACATCACTTGAGACGGACACTGGGCTGTGCCCTCGATCTCCATGTGAACCGCCACCCGAGACATAAGATATACGCATGTGGGGATTACCTAAAATTGAGGGATATCTTAAATATGTTTAAATCTTAAAGGATGTGTTAGTATTTTACATTTTGGAGAGCACGGGTTAGATTGGAAGCTGCTTTGCCAGCATTTGAGAAATTCGAAGTTGAGCTTGTGGCCATTATACGTTTTTGGATTGCGGGATTGGATTGGGTATCGTTGCCATTGTTACACTTGTGGTGTTGTGGCATGAATGAGGAATTGGTGAGCACTCCTAAAAGATTGAAAAATGTTTTGAAATTAAGAATATTTCGAAAAATTCAATTCAAATCAATTCAAACTTTTATAACAACAATCAAATTTTCAGATTGATAGAAACTAGGTTAGGAATGATCAAGCTAGCTCTTACCGGATGGGCTTCTCAGGTCGGAAAGGGGACAAAGTGCACTTGCGTTGTTCATCATGTTGGCGCCCATGTCGGAGAGTCCACCAAGGCAAGGGGCATTCCCGGAAGCGGCCATGGCTGAGGAGACCTGAGCCGGCGACAGGCAGTCGCCCTCATTCTGACCCGTGCTCACCACACTGGAAACACTGGCCGAGGAGGCAAAGGTACTGCCCACCGCCGTTTGGATTTGGGCAGTGGTGACCACTCGGTGTACGGTATACATGATCGGGGGAACGGGCATATTCACAGAGCCCAACGATACGGGAACCTGCTGGTCACACGTGACCACACTGGAGCTATTCTGATGGGTTTGAGTGGCTGCCACGCGTCCACTTCCGTTGCCATTGCCTCCGGCGTTGGGGAAGATCGCACAGTTGTCAAAGGCATCTGGTGGATCGGCCACCGAGCTCTGTAATTGGGGTAGCTGATGGATTGGTTCTGGGTGGTTTAGTTGGTGGTTATGTTGGAGCGATTGCTGAATGTGGAGAAAGTTGGCCTGTTGTTGCTGCTGCTGCTGTTGGTGCAGATGTTGTTGATGTTGCTGATGTTGTTGGTGTTGCTGATGTTGTTGGTGTTGCTGATGTTGTTGGTGTTGCTGATGCTGCTGATGTTGCTGTTGCTGTTGCTGTTGTTGTTGGTGTTGATGCTGCTGCTGGTGCAGGTGCTGCTGTTGCGGTTGATGAGCTTGGTGCTGCGGTAGTGCTGCTGTGGCATTATTGGCTATATAGTAATCATCGCGACACTTGACATCCGTGGTATTGTAATATAAATGCGATCTGAAAGATACATTTGTAAAACTAATTATATATAATTTTTAAATTAAAGTGATAATTGCACTCACTCGTAGTCTTGAGTAGATAGCTTTTTTCGATTATACTGCAAAGTTCCCAATGGAACAGTCATTATGTTGATATAGTTCCCAGCATTGGCAGTATTCTTGCTGCATTGGCCACTGTTGCTGCAGACAGATCCTCCATATGGACTTCCCATATTGCCATTGCCTCCGAGCGACTTATTGTTCCCAGTGCGTGGCACGAGATCTTTAGAGTTGTAACCCGATTGAGCTTGGCCGGAGCTACATGTCACATAATCCTGGCCAGCATTCATCCCATAGTTGAGCTTGTTCGACGAATGTTGTGGTATGGAAGTCGAGGAGTTCTGCTGCATGGCGCTCCGGCAGTAATAATGATTTGGCTCCATATTCTTTGAATACAAAGTAAGAAAAAGTAAAGAAAGTTAAGTTGTGTAAATAAATATGCTTGAAAATTAATTGTTCTTCTCGGACGTTTTGAAAGGACAAATTTGAAAGAGTCCTTAAACAAATATTAGTTTTAAACTTTTAAATATTTGAGTTTATTTACCGTTATTATAAATAGATCTGCTGCTAACAAATATGATTAATAGCTGTCGACGCCTTTTCGGGGTTCGCTTGAGCAATCAGGATGGCCCTCATTTTATCTGGCAGTTGTGAAAATTTCACAAAACTCCATCATTAACAATGTTTTAACTTTCGATTTGCATTTCTGGAATGTAAAAATAGTTAATTTAGGTTTTATTATAACCAAAACGGAAACTATTAGTCTACTGTTTACGAGTACATTAGAAGTATTAAACTAGTTTAATAATATATTTAGAACACAGAGCTAGTGGTTGATAAAAATATTTATAAATAAGAAAACAAACTTCTAAATGTTCGCTTTTTTCTTGGTTTGTATCTTCTAAAAAATCATTTAAAATAACAAACTGTTCCTTAGGCCTGATATTTGATTTTTCGAGCAGGTGCAATAGAGGGTATGCTGTATACACACATGTCCGTACATACCGACACGAACATCTGTAGGTACGGATATATGTAAATCTATGTACGTCATGCTAATTCTAGTGCAAGGAAGTATGTCAGCACGGGCATAACTTTAATTTTATAATTGGAGGCACGTAAACACTATATGTTAATTCAGTTTCACATGGCTAAGAGAGAAAAAAAAAGTGCCTCGTTCTTAATCAATACATGCCTTCATATGTATGCATATACACACACACACTTACAGACACACACGCACATATCCTTCTAACTGGGTGGGACTTTGAAGGCCATAGTTTTTCACCGAACCATCTCGCCTTTCCAATTTAATTTTATTCCTTTCAAATGGTTTCTTTCGCTCGCGAAGCACTCCGTAACTTGTTAAATGTATCTACATATCTGAGAGATCTTAGAACGCACATAGATGGATGGCTTTGAAAAAATGTGTTACACGGATTTCGTCCGAAAGATACATTTTCCGCTGTATTGTCTTTTGAAGCGGGGAGCTGCGTGATTTGCAAGCTTCGAGCTTGTTTGCTTTGGGATTAGTTTATTTTTTCATTTTCATTATTGGCCTGGCGAATGTAGATTTTTTTACTCAAGCGATTCCATGTATATCGAACGATGACGAGAAGTTCCCGAACTTTTTAGTACACAAAATGCCAAAACAGGCGACTTAGCACCAAAATATCTACTTATACAACACCACTTTTGAACACAGCCAACCGAAGTAAACAAACACATGCAAACTCGGGCTCCATATGAGGCGCATGCGCCCCACGAAATCCTGCTTAAAATTTGCCCAGCAACAAGACTATCGATAAAAAGGCAGTTTCAACCTTTAGTAAAATCAATATCTACGGCCTTTTGATAAGGAACCAAGCCAATCTGTATACATTCTCTTTTATTTAATAAACTTGCATTTCTTTTAAAAGCATTTTAAACACTTCTTATAATTATGGCTCAAAATTTTGTATACATTTTGATTTATTTATTTATTTGTGAAACTTTTGAAGTTGCGGGGCCGACAGCTTAACCTTTCCTGGAATATTTCTAGCCAGCGATTCCTCCTTTATACTTTTCAGTAAATCCTTCTCGCGAGTATTGCAGCCTTTTTCCTTTGCAAAGATATTGAGAGCTAATTTGGCAGCCTTTCCTCTTTTACCAGTTCCTGGTGTGAGCTTCACTTTGAATCTGAAAATTAAGTTTAATTTTAGTTTAAAATATAATCTATGCTAAATAATATTACTAGAACTTACTTGTAATTCTGTAAAGCCTGATATGGAGCCACCACTGGAATCGCGAAGAGCAGCTCATCTCCTTCGTGCGGCTGTCCAGTTAAACTGTTGAGAATGTCCACATCCCCACCGACAGGCACTTCATCGGCATCATCCAAGTCCACTGGGTTTTTAGGATCTGCACTTTTTTCTGGTTTCACATATTTTTTAGTGGTCTCAGTCTTCTCCACTTCTTTCTCAGTACTTGGCTGTGGTTTCTCCTTGCCAGAAGACTTGAGAATCATCATTCGAATTTCCCGCTCCTCGTCATCTTGGTCCTTGTATTTTTGTTTAATTTTCTTCAATTTTCCCTTCTGACCCCTCTTAACCTGGGATGGATTCTTGGGCTCCGTATTTACAGGAGCAATATCCTGTTTGGCGGCTTCCTGCCTTGCTCGAGCTTTGTCTTCTTTAGTCTTTTTAGCACTAACTTGCTTTTTGCGACTCGGAGCAGCCAGAATAATGGTCGTTTCCTCATCTGCGGGCTTGCTAGAAGTTTTTTCGATAACCTCTTCATTGTCATCAGTTGGCTCGTTCTCTGGGTTTAAGGAGTCGGATCGAACTGTTATGCGACCCGTATCGTGTTCAATTTTTACTTCCGTATTGGGAAAAGAATTAATTTCGGTATTGGAACTCTGTTCTGATACATTTGCATTGGGAGTGGATTCAGTATCTTCACTATCGGACAAAAGGTCATGCTCAACTTCGGGTTCTTTAACATTTTGATCTATAGCATCATCATCCAAGCTTCTAACCTTACGCTCGCCCAAATGACGTTCTATAAAACTGTCCTCCAACTTGAAAAGTAAACTCAGGCCCATGGTAAGGTGGCAGGACGGTAGGAAGTTCTTCTTTCCTCTGATCATAAAACTACCAGTTGCCAAGTACTCTCCCGTGGGTGCGGTTTTACTGACTTGATCGCTTGTCACCCAATACGAGTTTGTTACTACCTTAGCATCCCAAGCCACACTGTATGATATAGCCATAGATCCCGCCTCCAGCAACGTTTTTGGAGGTATTTCTTCGCCTGTGGGATTTTGAATAATAACACTCGAAGCACCTTGAATCTCAGCATGCACGTAAATGTCCTTTGGACGCATGTATCTAAAATAAAACTATTTAAAAAGGCAAAACTATACATTATTTTTATTTCACGTACCTTTTAACTATAAGCTCGTTCTGTTGCGCATCTCTTCCTCCAATAACCAAATAATTCTCAGAGCTTATAAACCAGTAAAACTTTTCAAACCAAAAGACTTTCCTAGCCTTTACTATGTTTGAAATGGTTCTTACTTCCTTGAGAGTTTGTTGGGTTTTGCGCTCTGCAGACTTAAGAGCTTTCTGAGAAGCATCCACCGTTTTCTTTTCCTTTTGAGCAGCCGAACGTTTCATGTCGTAATAACGGCGGGCATTGGCCCAAGCAGAGAGCGCTAAGTCGACATCCACAACGGTCACCTCCGGAGTTTTAGTATTTTCTTCATCTTCGTCATAATTATCATAAGGATCACTCAGCATAAGGGATATGTGATTTGTTTCTAGCTTTAGCTGCTTTATACAACTGGCAACCGCATCGCCATTTGCCTGTGCCTCCTTCACCAGCTCATGGATATCTGGCCAAGATAATTGACTAGCAATAGCCGACTGAACTGCACGAATGGCATTATCCACTAGACTTTGATTGGACGTTATAAGCTCTGCCTTCTTCCTGTCTACGTCCTGAACCTTTGTCAACTCCTCTAGACGCTTGGCGTGGTCATTTTTAACGTTGGACAGCTTTTTCAAAGCCTCACGCTCTTGATGGAGCGTTTTCATGTCAATCTTCTGCGATTCTTGTGTCGAGTAAAATTCATCGACAGCTTCCATAAAGGTTTCGAAAGTTGCTTTCTCAAAGTCTTTGAATTGGGCAAAAAGGTAGGGATGGAATTCAATGTTTCTGAAGAAAAATTCTACTTTTCCATTCTCGACTGGCTTCTCTTCTTTCACCTGAATTATGTATCCTTTGGTTTTTCCACTGTTTCCCTCGGTTATAAGATCTTGAGCGCACTGAAAGATTAAAGAAACAGTTTACGTTGAAAATGCTTTTATAAGGAGGTACTCACCTTTACAGCATCTTTAAGAATTGGCAGGTCATTAACCATATCAAATGGCTTTTGGTTCAGTTTAGCACCCTGCTGCTTTTTTCGTTGTTTCTTGCCACCTTTCTCTTGTTTTTCATCTGCCTCCGGAGTTTCTTCCCCTCCTTCCTTTTTTATTACGTGATTATCCAAGCCGTGTGATACGAGAATATGCTCTATAACGGCCGGACCGCAGTCCAAGTTAGGAGTTAGAATCTGACGCAAATAGTCTCCGTTCTTGGCATTTTCTAACAATTTCTCTAAAGCTTCCGGCTGCAAGGCCTCCGTTGCCTGTTTAGCTCTTTCCACTGGATATTTTTCGCGCATGGCGAAACGCAGATTCTCGCCCTCCGTATGCGGACGCAGAATATACAACGTGGTCAACTCGTAGTCGGTTAGAATCACGTTACCGCGATCGTAGAGCTCCAAAATAACATGGTAGGCGGCATCGCCGGTACCAAACTGGAAGTCCACAATACGATCGGTACCCAATTGCTGGACCTTCTCCAGACGCTTGTTCTTCAAGTGCTTCCTTAGCTTCATGCTGAATCCAGACGGGGCCATATTCTTTGGCCATTCGAACCGGGTGGTATGGAATCGAGTACCGGATTCTAACAGCAGAGTTACTTTCTCAACCGCACCGGTCCCCTGCATCCGGAAGAGATAAGTTTTGTTATCAACGTCATAGATCTGATTCACTCGCCACCCGACCAACCTGAAAGAGAAATATTACTTTGCTATTATCCCAAGTCTGGATTATAAGAACGGTTACATACTTTTGCAGCTCGGCCACTCCGCAGATTATATCAAAAGTATTGAAACGTGTCTTCATGGTTCCAAATCGAAAGTTGACGATGTCAACACGTAAAACAATAGAAATTGAATATATTTAACGATCTAACTTATCATTAAATATTCACAAGTTCGCTATCTATGCTAGATAGGTAAGAAACCTAAAACGAATTGGAATAAAAACAATTTTATTCCCTGGCGAAATTAAATATCGGTGTAAATAGTGATGGATGGAGCTCGATTAATATATTTCGATTATTTTTGACACGATGATTGGACAATTTCAATATAGGTCTCAACGAATATATTTTAATTACTATTTGATTATTCTAAACTTTATTTTAAATGTAGACTTTATTTTGATTTGAATATGTATATAATTTTAATCAGCTGTTTTTTATCCGTATGTTCCATATGTTCCATTCATTCCGTTTCAATTAAAATATCGAATGGCTAATCGAAATGTGCAACCGGACTGACATCTCCAATCTTCATTTGTAAATATGAGTGCGGATGGACCTGTTGTCAACGTACACGTGCTGTTCTTTGCTAAATCCCGTGAATTAGCAAATACTCCTCGTTCTAAAGTGGATGTACCGACCGAAGTTACTGCCTCTGATTTACTAGATCAACTAGTGTCCAGATTTGGACTGACATCTATTCGGGATAACTTGATTTTGGCCCACAACGAATCATACATTGAGAACCTGAGTGACAAGATTCTGTTTAAAGAGGGAGACGAACTGGCCGTCATTCCTCCCCTAAGTGGAGGCTAATTAATCCGCCATGGATCACGTTAAATTGGTTAATGATCCCATTGACATCGCCCATATCCATCAATTACTAGCTGACGAAGGCTGCGGAGCTTCGTCGGTTTTCGTGGGCACCACGCGCGATAATTTTCAGGGAAAAAAGGTGCGTTTGCTATCTCAATCAATTAGTGTCATTGATTCATTTGTACTTTGTGACCTTCCAGGTAGTGTCATTGGCATACGAGGCCTATGATAACATGGCCCTCAAGGAAATGAAAAAAATCTGCTCCGATCTTAGATCAAAATGGTCTGAGCTGAAGCACATAGTTATATATCACCGATTAGGAACTGTGCCCGTCTGCGAGGCCAGTGTAGTTATAGCCGCCACGTCGCCACATCGATCAGAGGCCTTAGAATCAGTATCTTTTGCAATAGACCAGCTTAAAACTCGGGTCCCCATCTGGAAAAAGGAAATATACGACGGTGATCACAACAGCGAATGGAAGGAAAACAAAGAGTCCTTCAGGCCCAGTAAGAACTTATGATTAACCACCTTGAAATGTATTCTTTTTATTTGTACACTTGTAAATATAATTAACAAACGAGCAATTACTATTCTGTGCATGTACATTGCAGAGAAGTCTCTTAGTGCCTTTAACTATGCAGCTTGTCCCTGCAAAGTTGAGGAGTCACATGACGTCCCACAAACTCTAGTGCAAATTAGAGTTAATGACTCCGAGTTAGCCAAGCGTTTAGAATGTTTTGTCAACAGAAAACGAGAAGAAATCAACTCACAAAATGTAATTGACTTCAAATCGTCTTTTGTTGACTCAGACAATGACTTGAGCGATTCCTGCGCTCGAACGCAGAGCACAATTATAAAGCAGGAGCAGTCAAATTGTCATTTAAAAGGTGGGTAAACTAATTATAATAATAGCCACTTTATTCAACAAACAACTTATCACAGTTCGCCGGGTAAACAATCGCTCTGGACCCCAGCAAATGGAGTTGCGACCCAACTACGAACTTGAACTGAATAAACTAATGGGATCGCGTGACGGCCAAACTGACCCATCCAAAGAAATGAGAAAATCGCTGCCCAATTCACGTCTACAGGCAATTGAATCATACATGGGTTTAAGTACTGATAATGAGGAAAACATTTTTAGTAGAATTAAAAAGGTGGAAAATAGAATGCTGCACCTCGAGTCGATTTCGCCAGAGTATAGACATTTTGTAGGTTCCTAACATATTCTCATTTTTCAGTTCTATAAATAATTAATGTATTTCCAGACGAACCTCCAGCCGTCTTTTATGGAACCCCCTCCGCCGAAAAAAATAAGAAAGAAATCATATTCTGCACACGAACTAAGCATGTTCATTCAAAAGATCAAGGATGGTAGCGAAATCAACGAATAATAAATCAATATTTTCAAATGAAATGAGAGCTATTATTGTTATTCCTTGGTTTATAAATGAAGTAAATTTATTTCAACATTCCAACTATTTGTAATAGTTATTTTAAATGCGTAAATGATGAGAGTGAAAAAATCAAAAATTTTTGTTTACAACTAAGGAATATGGATAAGCGTGGCTGATTTGTTTCTGTTTGTTAATCGGTCGTCAAGCTTCATAGATTACGCCCGAAAATCTAATGGTTATTCGTTAACCAAAGGAGCAGCTTACTAATTATGTAATACGTGAAATTGTTAAACCTTATTGTTGTTCTCAGCTCCTAGCACAGAGTAGGAAATTGAGCTTCATCGTCTACCTTCAAGGGCTTCTGGGCGGAGCGGCGTTTCTCCCCGAATCTGTTGTTTTCCTGTCTATTTTCATATCCATTGCTGGCTCCGTTATTAAAACGCGGGCCACGGAATCCCTCACCGCGAGGAGCGTCGTTGCGGAAGCCTTCGGCACGAGGCCCCTCGTTGCGATAGCCTTCCCCACGAGGTCCTTCATTGCGGTTACCCTCTCCGCGAGGTCCATCGTTGCGATATCCACCTTCTCCACGCGGTCCGTCATTGCGGTAGCCACCCTCACGGAATCCTTCGCCACGAGGACCAGCTCCTGGGCGAGGTCCCTTGCGGAAACCACCCTTGCGTCCATCATTGAAGTTGAACTGGATGTCTACGATGCGCTGAAGGCGGCCCACTCGCTGAGGATACAGCGAAGGATCGTACTCCAATTCGTCCTCGCTGTTGCTCTCCTTTTTCTTGCTCAAGACCACCATTTTCTTCCACTCGGCGTTGTCAGCAGCACCTTCACCAGCCTTACGCAAGTTGTAGTTGGGCTTGGCACGTTGATCCCTAAGAGCCTTCCACTCATCTAGGGTCATCTGTTTGGATTCATCCTCCTCAGCGGGGATCGCGGGATCAGCCGACTGTTCATTGGCCGAGTCCTCTTTTTCCGCCTGCGGTGACGACTCTCCAGTCTTTAAGTCTTCAATGTCCTGCTTCGGGGATCCCCAGTTATGGGCACCGCCGCCTTCGCGCTTGTCAATTGACTTGACGCCTGTAATAAGTGAATTCAGGATTAATGAATGAATTTTGTAAATTAAAATAAGAAAAAAAGGATTACAAAAAAAACTTAAAGGATACATTTCCTTGTAATCGGATAAGAAAATTTGACACTTAATATCAAATAATTGGAAATTATTAAAATTCCCAACACTCTGAGCAAATTGCGTTGTTTCGCAATAAACATGTGTTTACAAAACTCAATGTGAAACGGAGATAATAAAAAAATGTGTACTGAATATGCTTAACAGCGTTCTGACTTAATTTTAGACCATAAAATTACAAATAGAGAATTTGTAAATATTTACAAACACGTTTCGGATTGTTTTTCGTATTACTAATCCGAAAAGAATTCGTAAACATGCATATTTACAAAATACTTAAAAACACGTGAGAGACTTGCGTTGTAGTAAGCGATATGTAATCTTGTTGCCAAGGGTTTTTTTTTCTCTATTTATTTTTCAGCATGCCGCCATTGCAGGTTACCATTTTCTTCTAAGATAATCGAAAGTTTTCTTCTCTTTAGCCGACTTAAATACTAAATAGTAACGAGAACAAAGAAAATAATCTTGGTAGAATTACCGGTTTTATCGGATCCAGATTGGCGATCGAACTCGCGCTTTCCAAATTTCTCGCCGGTACGGGCGCGTGGTGGACCCCTGTTATCACGATTGTTGAACTGACGCTGCGGCAGCTCGTTTCCGAATTCTCCGGTTGATTCCTTGTTTCCGTAGCGCTGGTTGTTGTTGTAGGTCCTGCCCTGGTTACCGACTCCATTTGTGGTTGCGTTCCTTTGACGGCTCACATCTCCGCCAGCCGTTACTTTGCCTCCTTTCACAGGACTTGAGTTCTTCGCCGCAGGATTGTTGGCCTTACGGGCCGTCACAACCGGCTTATTTTCCTTTTCCTGCTTGCTCTTCGGGGCTTTTGCCGGTTCCGGTTTCTTGGTCGGCGCGATTACGGCGGGAATCTGTGGTTGGGCAGGCGCGGAAGAATCATCGTCGTCCATGAACAACAGCTCGTAGCGGTTATTTCCAGAATTGTCCATGATGTAAAATGTCTACGAATTACAAGTGAACCAGATTTTGGGATTACTTTGGTTTCGGTGGCAACAACTTGCTTTGCAGTCAACTTATTGGCACATGGCCGGCCGAGTGCTCAGTCGGTGATAATCAGTTAAAATTGCGAAAACGCGGAGCAAATTACGCACCTCGCCGGAAACGAAAGTGAAGGTAGAAACACCGATGTTTGCGCGGATGCACCGATGGTTCCTTTTCAATTGTTTTCCTCGACTATCGATTACTGTCAATGTAGTAGATACCAAAATGGTGTTTCAAGTATTTAAGTATTTAATTAAATATTACAAATAAGTAGTTTTTGTTATATCATATAAGAAGGGCAGACAACAAGAACGTTAAAATAAAATGGGAAAACATTGTAACAGTGCATACAAAGATGTAATATTAATAAGAAGATTAATATATATTTACAGTTTACATACGTACACTAAATAGCGATACATTCTAAACCTAAAATAAAATACAGCCTCACTAATATTTATATCGGTTGTGTGATTATCGATGTTTGTTTTATACATATATTTTAATTATATCGCATAAATAAAATCATTCAATATTATTTGTATTTTTAGTAACGGTTTTTCAATACTAAAACTGTTTTCTGGATACCTCTTAGTTATTTTATATCTGAAAATGTGAAACGATGGAAGAAGAAAAAAACTATAAACGTCGAAACAATTATCGATTCATAAACAAGTTTTAAACATAGTGACGTATTGATATCCCCAATGGGGTTCTGCCACCTCTAGCAGTCGGCCCATCACCAAACCTAGAATAACTTTTGGGCCCGTAGAGACAAATGTGACATTTGTTTCTTTGATGCGTTGCCATCGAAATTCTCTGTCCTCTTCGGCCTGATGCAAGTTATAAATTCAAGTAAACGCAAATTATCCTTGTAATCGTAAGAGAGTCCATCGTGAATTGTGGCTTTTGCGTGCCGAACCGCGTGAAACGCGACCAGCCCACTGAATTGGAAAATTGGTAGCAAAGAAGGAAGAGAGGAGAGGGAACTCGATCACCCTGAAAAATTTCCCATCCACAACCCACGGGCCCCAAATAAAAGCAAGTGTAACAGGGCCGCGTTTGCGTTTTGCCGGTGAGTCCAAAAAATGATAATACAATCAATTCGTATCTGTATACTGATACCCGTAAGTTATCCATAAGTTTAGGCTAAGTTCGTGTGTTTGAGTTGGTTTCCCCATTTCCTCGTGTAAAGACGGGACATGCATAAACAAAAAAATCAATACCCTGTTCGCCTGCTATATATGCATTTTTTTATTCGTGCAGCTCGGTGTTTTACGATTCTCTGTATGAATTTTACCTTGACCTCTTCAACTGCAGAGCTTCTATTGCTTTTTTCGGCATTATAAATATTTAACCCCCAAAATATATGACCAACGAAAGGTAGCAGATTGCTTTAAAAAAAAAACTGGCAATAGAAAATGTGATGTCATTTTTTAAGCCTTTTTTGGATTTTTGTCGCTTGGAAATCGAATACATTAAAATATTCGGGTCATGCAATGGGACTCCCATTCCTTTTATGCATATGTCGGCTCTTGATTTCTATCCGAGTTTATTTGGGGGTGGTTATACCCCTGCTCACAGACAATTTTGGCTCAAACTGTTGTTTTTACACCCTTAACGGGTCTGTTCCTCTAATGCAGGATATCCAAAGGAGCGAATCAAGTGATACACAACATTTTATACTCATATGTAGTCAAAATGTTAACCTGATCTTGAATTTTCCAATCAGAAGAGTGACAATGTATGCACATAATAAAAATATGTGAGTACAAATCCGTCTGGTCAGCAAAAAATGCAGATAAACACAAGTTGTTTAAAATTATTTGCGATGCGATTGTAACTGCTTGCATTTTGTCTCCTACGATGTTCTGTATTCTGTGAAAACACTTTTTAGGGACTAATGGTAGTTCAGATAAAACCTATAAGAATATCTGCAAAAAATCTACTGACGTCTTAAAGATAATTAAATGATCTTGGAATTAACATACAAAAAGTTACAGTTTTTCGTATAATATTTTACGAAATCTGGAAATGTGGTCTTAACTACGTTAATTTCGGAATAACCAAGAGCCTATTAAAATATATTCCCAATCTCAGTTATCAGTGTGAGTTTGCGAATTCCACTGTAACTATCTATCACTAAAAGCTATTGACAATTTTTAATTGTTATCAAAGTGGACGCGTTGTGCCAAGCATAATAATCAAAAATATCAATATTCACAAAAATTGGCCACTTCCGGCCATAATTCCTCTTTCAACCAATTTATTTCGTAGAAACTACTCTGCCAGTAAGCTAGATATATTCTACTTAAAACCTTAAGGGTTTCTTTAAGGAATATTCTAACATTAAGAACATTTTAGAAAGCGTGAGTATTTCCTTTGCACTTCCACTTTGTTTACGTAATTCCAGCAATTACCCCCACATCCCGCCCAGTGACTATATATATATGTATACAATGCTTCAATTAAGTCGACTGCTTTTTATATCCACATTACGGAGTGGACCTTGTTGTTTTCCAATAGTTCAGATTTAAAGCTGTATTGCTAGCTTATGATTTTAGTGCATGTGGTTCTGGAATTATATTGCTAAATTGATACAATATTATACAATTGCCAAGATGATACTGTGATGAAATTGTTGTGGCTATTAAAATGTTCGTCTTTAATTTCCATAACATATTGATACCTGTAAACGATATTTTTGGCAAATATAGCTATTTATATATAGCTAATAAGCTTAAGAAATGTAGTAATTAATAACGGTTATTAGATTAATAGAAAGACTGACTTAGTATTTTAAGAGTAATATTTGGTTATAAATAAATTAAAAATTTGATATAAAATCATTTTTTCCTTCAATTTTATAGCATCTCAATATCTCAAATCAAAAACAAAATCAAATTCCTCTCGGTTGATAACCCATAATCAAACCGAAATAACAAGTTACTTTCCGGCGAGCCACATGAACCTATAATTGATGTTTAAAGGTATTACAAACACAAGATGAATACCAAAAACATGCAAAACGCACCCATAGATGGGAAAACATTTCTCGAGTTGTTGTCAACAATATCATTGGAAAAGGTGTTACAATCTGAGTTTCGTCTCAATCCATCAAATAGGTGGGAAATGTTGATAACCCCAACCGATCCCCTTTGGAAGTATCACTGCAATATTTGCCATGTTGTTCAGTACGGCGACAAGAATTTGTTTAGCCACCTTAGTGGTAAAAAACATGGCGTAGCAATGATGGCTTCACCACAATTGCAAATAAGATTAAAACCCACAGGTGGTCCTTCACAAAAAAGCTTTAAGAACTCTGATACTACTAAAATGGGATCCAACACAAATTCAAATATTGCTAGGAACAGCCAATCCCCTGTTACAAAAAATGCCGCTGCTTTCAACCAAAATGCTGCAAACAAAAATAATATTTCTAATAATACGGCCAAACAAGCAGGTGAAAATTCGGCTGTAAAATCTAGCCCTATTCAAAAGAAAAGTCCAGCCGTTGGCGTGAACTCACAAAAAAATTTTAGTCCCAAAACGGGAGTAAATACACCCAATCAGAAGAATGTTCCAGGAAATAATTCATCCATTCCAAGGGGCGTACAGGGTACTAATCAAAGCAATCAAAGGAGTATTTCAGGAAATAATCAAACCCCTCAAAAAATTATTCCAACAAATAGTCAGCCTGTTCAAAAAAGTATTCAACGAAATAACAATAAAAATATTCCAGCAAGCAGTGACCCTGTTCAAAAGAGCAATCAGGGAAATAATAATCAAATGAATCAAAAGACAATTTCAGAAAACAATCAGAAAAATATGCAAGAAAATAATAATCAGACCAATCAGAAGAATATTCAGGGAAATAATCAAACCACTCAAAAGAATATCCCAGTAAAAAGTCCAGCAATGCAAAAGAATAATACAGGTACTACTACACTCACTCAGAACAAACCCGGGGGAAATACTGCTCCCGTTCAAAAGAATATTCCAATTATTGGTTCGAATGTACCGAAAAAGCCTCTACTGAACTTGGCCAATAATCAATTTAAAAAACCAGTTGCAAACGTGGCCAGCGCAACTATCTCTGGTATCAAAAAGGGATCACAGACTGCGGCACCAAGCACACCAGCTCCTTCTAACACTTCGAAGAGTACAGAAGGAACTGATGCTGAAAAAACTGAAAACAATGCTAACTCTCAGTCCAAACCCACAATTAAACCTGCACAAAATTCACAGACACCAGCAAGCGGTCAGAATCAAACAAAATCACCATCACAAGCAAAAGCACCAACTAAACCGCAATCACAGTCTCAAGAAAAGCCACAGACACAGCCACAGCCACAGACACAGCCAGACAAATCTGCGCAGAATGCAAAGGTCGATACTGTGGACTTGACTCGAAACAAGAGCACTAATCCAGATATAGTGAAGAATCCGCTGGCGAAAATCTCTTGTGTTCCGCTTGCCTCGCTTATCAGCACCAATAAAGAACCCGAGTCGGAACCCGATGTTATAATTATTGATGAACAACCGAATGAGATTGCCAAACTACCAAAAACTCCTTTACTCTCAATACCAGTTCAAGCAAGCAATTCAAACACCTCAAGTGGAGCCGAAAAGCCGACTCCTCCTCCTAAAAAAATGTACACTTTGCCTCCGAGGGATCATTCTCCCGTTAAATCCGCTAGTGGCACATTCGAGTCAAGAAGTCAGAGTCATGTAATGGGTCTCGTTGGAGTTGAATACGTTTTGAAAATAGTAAGGAGCTTGCACGATAAGTACGCCAGATATCAATGTTGCTTATGCGACATCGGTACTGGTGAACAGTCTATGCACAACCATTTGCTGGGTTATAACCATCGTCTTAAGTATTTTGACAAGCATTTTCCGACTGCGATGCGTCATTTCCGTCAGTATGTGTCCGAAGTGCCCGAGAGCGAGGTATGCAAAATAATGATGCCCGTATTCGATAAGCTTGCAACTGCCATTGAAACCCATCATGGTCGAAAATCACCTCATTTGTGCTACGAACATCTCTATAAAAAAGATCGCGAGGATTTGTACACTTTGGTGTTCAATAGGAAGCATTCATCCGAAAAGGTTGGACCTTCGTTCACTCATGTCGTTGACTCAAAAGAAATTAATGAGTTGATCAATAAAGCTAGAAACGGCAGTCACTCCTCGATGACCGTGGATAATCCGAATCCAATTCCGAGTTCGAATCCAATTCCAAGTTCAAATCCTCCATATGGTCTACCATATGCACCTCACGGTAATAATTATATGGGCTACCGAAATGAGCCTCAAAAAAATACATCTCAGATGATTGATGATGAAACCCATAAGAGAATGGTTGATAACTTCCTCAGGGGCAATAGACACAATTCTGGAGATAACCAGAGGTCCCGAAACCTGAAGCGACACCGTTCAAGATCGAAGTCACCGGATCAGAGGAAAAGATCTACACACAAAAGGCATTGGGATGTAGAACGCAGGTCAGTATCTCCATTGCGTGATGGGGATATTTGGCAGGCATACCGCCACATGGTTGATCTGAAGGTACGTGAGCTAAACGTGTCCTTCGACGCATACAGATCTGACCCCGAACAGCATCCGAGCTATCAGGCAGAGTGGCAAATGTTCTGGAAGCGTCGCAAGGATGAGCTTATACAGGCTGGCATCAATCATCGTTCTTATAACTTCCAGAACGAATGGATTCATTTCTTTAATGCCCGTATCGAAGAATTGTACAAGCAAGATATTGAAAATATCAAGATAAAATGCCGCGAAAGGCTGTGCCTTCCAATGACTAATAGTCATTTGGCCAATGAAAAGTATCACGTTAATTTGCCTGGAACTGCTGATGGTCCTGGTATTAACAAACTTAAAAATAATAATGGCCCAGAGAAAATGTCTGTAGATCCAGAACCACTGACTGAGGCCCCGCCGAATGTGATTCATGTCCTTCGTCTGCTAACTGCTTTGGAGGATTACCTTGGAAGCCTGGGTCCTTTTATTACCGACATGTTAGTAAAAGCCTTGCAAGCTCAGAAAATTTCCCCAGAATCAGTCCAAACACTAATTTTGAGTGATGAAAACTGTGCTCTGTTAGAGACTGTTAAAGAAAAGTTTACCGGTCTCTTGATTACCGAAATATATGATCCTGCTAAGGAAAGGGCTTTGAAAAGAGCGATTAATGACACAGAACTTTTACTTCAAGAGGCCAGTAAAATGAAGAATCTTAAAGATACCGCTCAGCGTCCTGAGCAGCCAGAACTTCAGATGGGTAACAAAAATCTGTGTAACCCTGAACCCCCATATGATAAAACTGTCCTTGCAGCTAAGCTGGCTTCTTCTTTGGTATCCCAAGGCAAGACATCTATTAACAAGGAAGAACTTCAGAAAATACTTCAAGTATATACCATGATTGAGCAGAAGAAAAGGCAGGAAATGCCCTCTGCCACATCTTTTAATTCTGGCCCCAGCTCTACCACTAATTTGATCTCGAACTCAAATAACAATGGCAACTTGTTGACACAACAATCGAATAGAAATGCAAACTTTGCAAACAACTCTTACAATGCGACCAGTATGTATACTGATCAAAGTTACTCCGGAAGTGTGGCTCGCTACAACCAACCAAACACTAACACGGCTAATACCTTAACCTCGAACGCGTATTCGACTGAACGTGGATATGGCGGAACCGGCGGATCAGGCGGTTATCAAACCGGCACCAATCAATTTGGCAACAACCAACCGGCGATCAATCCAAGCAGCGTTCTGCTAAACGACCTAACTTCGTCATCACTTTTCAACTTTAACACCAACTTGAACCCAACTTACAAGAACATTACCGCCAGGAGGAACACTAATTTTTAATATTTGTTAGTAAATAATGCAATGAATTAGACTTTTAAACGAATCTTACATGAAATCCTTATTAATGTAATCACATCATTGTCAAATTAGCTACATTCATCGAAAATATGTACGACATTTGAACAAATTAATGTAAATAAACCGATTTTACAATGGAAAAACTGATTCTTAATTATAGTAAACAAAAAAGGAAAAAAAAATTAAAGCCATATACGCTTAAAATATGTTTTCCTTTAATAACAATTTCATTGTATATTTTTTTATAAACGATAATTATAAGTAATCCAGAAACCTGTATGATTTTTAATTACATTTACTATATTGTATTGTACTTAAAATAGTTTTTTTGTAAAAATAAAACACACTTTTGTTTGTGCCATTGCAATATAAAGGATTGTCCTTTGTTTAATAGTATAATCGGAGTGGTGAATAATTCTATTCTAAAAGTAGAACTGTAAGCTAACACACAGCGCACGGATCACCTTTATTCTATTAGTCAGCATATCCAGGAGGTATGATATACCGGCATACCATGGACCATGAAGCCTACGCTTTATTAAGTTCTTGGTCTATCGTTGGGAGAACTTTGACTGGAGAGAACCGTTTCTAAGGCTATATCCAACCCTACATGGAGTTATTAGATGAAAATTAGGACTGATGACTAAGCCTCTTTGGAGCTACTCCTTTTATTACTTTTTTAATACCAATAACTTCACACACTCGACGCTGGAAAATTGCGAATAGCTGGAAAACCTTCCAAGTCTTTTGACTGACTGTGAAACTCTTTCGATACTTAATATGTACTTTTAGATCAATCTTCATTGAATGCGCCGAAAACCCTTGCGATGGGTTGGTCTACATTGTAGAAAAAGGTACGAACTAGAAAATTTATTTTAAAACATGAAAATAGTAAAACATATACTTAACCCTAAAACAGAAAAACATGAAACACTTGACACACAATTATGTTTACTTTCTTACTGAAAATCGTGAAATTTACCGTGAAAATGAGTAATCAATTTATAAACCATTCCAAAGAATTCATTTATAATGTTTCTTTTTAAAATTTTTGTTATCCATCCCCGTGCTGAGAAAATTATAATATTAGTTTGCCCTAGCACTTTTGTTATGTTTATTTAAACAAAAAACAATAATAACAACGATTTATGATGACTCAAAAATTATCATGAGGGACTTTGTCATGCTGATTCGGAAGGACTTCCTTAATACTCCCCTTATTGCGCCGAAGGATTAATATCGAAATCTTGCAAATAGGAATGATCAAAGAAATTTTTAATAAATTTCTGAAGATTTTTTCCTAATGCTAATGCGTTTGTCTGTCTGACCTTCTATCCAGAATGTTTTTGTTTTATAATTTGTTTTATTGAAACAAATTTGATAGTTTAAATACAGTTTAATCAAAACTTTATTAGCTGATCCTTAAAAAATAATAATTACTTTAGTAGTTACTTATTTTTATAAATTCTACCATTTCAGGAATCGTTATGCCTTCTTCTTTGTGTGAACCTCTCACGAACTCTTCGTAAGTCTTAAGTTTTAAAAATTATTTCAATGTCCTTAATTTTCTTAATTATTTTACAATTTGTTTTGTAGAATCAATTTTGAATATCAAAAAAATGATGATTGGATTACGAGTGGAAAGCTGGGTTCACGCGAGGCAGTTTTGGTTTTCAGGACGAATATTCTTAATCCGAAAATCCGTAAGACCTTGTCTGAGAAGTCCTCTGCACAAGCGTTATCGGAAGCAAAGGATAACGAGGAGGAGCAATCCGTTGAATGCCAAAAAGAAGTGGAGCAAAAGGAATCAACTTCTTCAACTTCGGAACCAAGTAATAAGGAAGCTGTAAGCGGTTCAACGCAGCAAAAGATTTATTTATTGAAAAACCCGCAACAATGTGATAAATCGGATAAATTAACTTTTTCTAATCCTTTTAATAAGATAGTTAACCGATATTCCTCGAGTGATACGTCCATTTCAAGTGAAGGCGAAGAGCCTGCACATAGTAGTGAAAGCAAATTGCGCGTACTTAAGACCAGTCAAAATGCCATTAATATTAAATTAGCTGCAGATATATCAAAGGAAAGTGGTTACGAATCAACAGCACCTGCCAAATCAATTTCATGTACTGAAGTAAGTGAAGAGGATCCGGAGGTGACGAGCGAGGACGATGATGAATGTGGTATCCACATGCCTGCCTTTAAACTCAAAATTACCTATAAATTCCATCAAACGGAAACCAAGTTGCTGCGAAAGCTGTTCAATGTCCATGGCCTTACAGAAATCCAGGGTGAAAATAATAACTTTAATTTACTCTGGACTGGTGTTCATATGAAATTAGATATTGTTAGAAATTTGGCGCCCTATCAAAGGGTCAATCATTTTCCAAGGTAATTTAAATAATTTTATATTTAAGTGCATATAATAATTAGATTTTATTTATTAAAGATCTTACGAGATGACCCGAAAGGATAGGTTATATAAGAACATTGAACGCATGCAACATCTTCGGGGTATGAAACACTTCGATATTGTGCCACAAACATTTGTTCTGCCAATAGAATCCCGAGACTTAGTAGTGGCCCATAACAAGCATCGCGGACCATGGATAGTCAAGCCAGCGGCATCCAGTCGAGGAAGGGGCATATTCATAGTGAATTCGGTAATGATAAATAATATTCTACGATAACGAATTATTAATTTTGTGTATCCTTTTTAGCCCGATCAAATACCTCAAGATGAGCAGGCGGTAGTATCAAAGTACATAGTGGATCCCCTATGCATTGATGGTCACAAATGTGATTTAAGGGTATATGTCCTAGTGACATCCTTTGATCCACTGATTATTTACCTATTCGAAGAGGGCATCGTGCGGTTGGCCACAGTCAAGTACGACAGGCATGCAGATAACCTGTGGAACCCGTGCATGCACCTCTGCAATTACAGCATTAACAAATACCATTCTGATTACATAAGGAGCTCCGATGCTCAGGATGAGGATGTTGGCCATAAGTGGACCTTGTCCGCTCTTTTAAGGCACCTGAAACTCCAGAGTTGTGATACAAGGCAGCTAATGCTAAATATAGAAGATTTAATTATTAAGGCAGTACTAGCCTGTGCTCAATCCATTATTTCGGCGTGCAGAATGTTTGTTCCCAATGGAAACAACTGCTTTGAGCTGTATGGATTTGATATATTAATAGACAATGCACTAAAGCCCTGGCTACTGGAAGTCAATCTATCGCCGTCAATGGGTGTAGATAGTCCGTTGGACACAAAAGTCAAGTCATGCCTAATGGCAGACCTGTTGACGTGCGTGGGTATACCAGCGTATAGTCCAGAAATGAGATCTCATTATGACCAGAAATGGTCGCGATTCCGCAGTTCAAGCTGCCAAAGGCTGGCCACCTATTCCAGTGTCTCACAAAAGACAAAGAAATCGAAGAAAAAAGGTGCTCCCATTAATCTTAATTTAACCGGGGAAGAGCAGCGCATTTTACGCAATGCCCGCCTACAGTATTCTCGTCGTGGCGGATTCGTACGAATCTTTCCCACTGATGACTCGATGCAGCGATATGGTAATTTCCTTGATTCTGCTAATGGCATTCCAATTTCAACGCCGACTGTGCAAAGTCAAACATTCCAAACGCCGATTTTGCAACACAACTACAACCAGATGCTTCACCAAAATTTATACTGCAAGGATGGCCGGCAAAAGCTGGATGATAATTCGGAAGCTGATCGTATTTGGCAATATGAAAGAGCCTTAGAGACCGATTCGGAAATTCCATTTGTCAAGAAGCCTGCGGTTGAGAAGTGCGAAGTGGAGGGCAGAAGGTTGCGGAAGGTGATGCTTAAGAAAATTTCCAATGGTTCCGAATTGACGCCGTTTCAAGCGCGTCAAACTTTCAGTATATACTTGGAATCGGTTCTACGGCGCTTAACAGAAGATCCGAAAGACAATCACGAGAAAATAATACTCAAGTTTTTAAACAAATTCGGTGGATCGGTGAAACCACCTGTGTTGTTCCGAAATATGCAAACCATTAAGGTGGCTAGCAAAGCCCGATCGGCAATGGTGGCGAAGCTGCTGGGCGACTTTCTGGAGAACTACAAACGGGACACTGAGGCCTATGTGGACTCTTTCGATCACTTTGGTATGATACCATCCAGTGCCTACAATCAGTTCTTAATGCACGCCCAGGAGTCCGATTTGGAGGCAGTGCTGACACTTCACACCAATGTTACCGGGATCATGCCCTTCCTGTACAACCGATGTGGACTGTCAGTGCCACCTACACCCCCGATTCCATCTGGTTTGCATGGCTTTCTCAGAGCCCTCCCATCCATGGTGACTTCCTCCGGTATGGCCAGGGAGCTCAGCAAGTACGATGGTTATTTTAAGAGCTACGATAAGGAGAAGATATTTCTATGAAGCCCGAAATCGCTGGGAGATTTAAAACTAAATAGCTAATTTGTCAAGCTTTTGTCCAGTCATCCTATTGTAGTAAGTCTAATTATTTTTGTATTCAAATTTTCGCATTAAGGCAGAGGCTTAAAACCAACAAAAATAAATATTTATCGATAAACAACGATTACTTAAATGTAATTTTTGAAACGCTTTATTAAAAACGAAATAGCTTTTATATATATTAATAAAAAAAAAGGTCAAATTTTTCTGCCTACACAAACTCATAGCTTTAAAAATATAATATACTTTCTACGCCAAAGATATATATGAAATCGATACTTCGAAAATATATGTGAAATGCACAAAACTATAAAATAATGGTAGTTTGTCTTTAAGGTGGGTTATTTTATGAAGTTAATATTACATTATTATCGAAAATTTGGATTCTTTATACTGCCTTGCGAATGAGTTGCGGAAAATGGCCAACAGGTGGCGATGGGGAGACTGCTGTGTAGCAATAACTTATTTTTTTTGTTTGATAAAAGAGACTTAATAGAAAGGATAATTTGAATTATTTTTAAAAGGTAAAAGTTATTAAGGATAAACTTTTGAGAATTTCGGGGTAGGGTATATGTTTTTGTGTAGGCTAATGTATTATTTTTCTTGGAGTACTTTTCCCCCACTCCTTAGTGCTCAATAATGCAAAATGGACGTAGAAATATGGGAAAGCTTTTACAGGAACCAGACATCCAACTAAAGCTTTTCCCAGAGCTTTTAAGAGAACAGCCGAGTGTTGCCAGTGGTCATTTCCTTTTTTGGCAAAAAAGTGAATTTTCTGTTCAATTAACTTAAAGGCATAAAATTTATTAATTTCCTTTGATTCTTCGACTACCTAAGGCTATTGACCATTTAAACGAGTATATAGGTCATCCGTGTACATAGATCTCTGGAGATAAATGTGAGGTGAGCAAACAATTGATATTGATTATTAACCCGTCAATAAATAAATATATATATTTTCCCAAAATCAGTGGCAGTGCATTATCTGGAAACCCCGAACACCCGCAGTACAACAAAAATATATGTAAATGCGTGATAACTTATGCCTATGAACGGGTCGCCAGAAAGTAATAAAATTTTCAGAAACAAAACCAAACAATGACAGCTGATTCCAGTGCACGTAATGTTTTTCGAAAGAACGGCGTTGCCGGCTTGGGCAACAACGGTCATGGTCGAAATCTTATTACGACCGCGAATCCATCCGGCGGGAGTAGCGCTTCCCTCCTCCAGAAGCAGTTGTCCTTTAAAACGCCCGTGGGTTCCAAGCAACTGGGCAAGTCCGATGAAATCGAAATGATTGACAGTGCTAACATCGAAAATTTCAATACCCGATATAATAAGGTGAGGATTGGCTTAGTTGAGGTATTTCGACTAGTATTTACCGCTTATTACCCGAATATGAGTTTTAGATTTATGTTAAATTTAAGGTGTAAGAATTGTTAATCCCAACGCAAGACAACACTGCGTATGAGTGATATTTAAGTATTCATTTTTCATAATGAAAACTTTTTTCTGGAAATAATATGAATATTAGCTTTAGTTTTTTGTTTAATTTAAGGTGTAACAATTGTTAAACCTTAAAATAAGGCAACACTGCGTATGAATGACATTTATATTTCATCATTATCCACAATGAAAACTTATTTCTGGTATCATAAAGACTATATTATATATTTTTAAATTTCAATTACAGAACAGCATTATAGGATGGATTTGCTGTGCCCCCTGCATTTGGCTGCGAACATCAGCGGCGGTGCACAAAATGGCCATCACATCGGCAACTTTATTGGTAACCACATTGCTGGTGGCATCACCCATCTTGTTTCTGATCAGCACGGCACCCTCTCCATTGCCCAGAGATTGTTATATGGATGGAGATCGATGTTCGCCCGCCGTTTCAACTCCACCAGAATGCTCGGATCCCATTTGCGAGGCAGTGGCAAGCAGCATCCAGGCCAGGCTCAATTGGAACAAGGATCCATGCACAGAGTTTAAGAAGTTCAGTTGTTGGCGCAACACTCGGAATAAAAATATAACAAACCTTATTGAAATGGGAAACTCCCAGAAAAGTGTCGATTCACAAATGCTGTGTAAGATTCTTGAAGAACTTCTCATATTTCATGAACTAAATCTTTGTTTCTAAACAGATCTGTTCCAGAACAAGATCATGAACGGCAGCTATAGTATATTGCACAATTTGTTCGAAAGCTGCCTGCAGCAGACAACTAACTCAACTATCATGCACAAGATATTCGATTCCTTAGGAGGATATCTACCTGTTGGTTCAGTGGGACCCTCGAGTATAGCACCTTTGATAGCTAAGATTTATGATCTCGGTCCAAGCCCGTTAGTAGACTTATATTATGACCTTAGCTATGGAAGAAGACCGCACATTCTTCTTATTATTAGTGGACCTAGCACATCCTCAACTATTTTAGAGGTATGTCTTATTCCTATATGGAAAATATAATAATTTAAACTTTTTTTATTTAGCGTAAAATACGTTGGATGAGCCCCAAAGCACCGCCCAGTCGTATTCGACAAGGGCTGCCTAAACTTTTAGCCGATCTAATCGAGAATTTTCTACCGTATTTTGTGTCATATGCTCAAAGAGTATCTGAAAAGGATACTATTTTTGAATTCATTAAGGATCTAAATAAGGTTAGTTTTTTAATTTTACAAAATATTAGGATTTTGAAAGCTTAAATCTTTTTATTTCAGCTTCAAGTCGAGCATTCTCGCCGAGGATTCTGGGACAGTACTGTTTTATATAATGTATCCAGTCTACAAGACTTGTACCCAGTTGTAGGTGTTATGGAAATATCTAATATTTATTTCTGATATAAATAAGGATATATGTTTCTATTTCTTAGCTAAATTGGACATTGTTAATCCCACAGAACTGGAGCGGACCCATCGTTGTCAGAAATAGTGATTATCTGAAAGCCTTAGAATATTTTCTTACAAAATACCCAACTAGAGTTGCACATAATTCCCTGCTATTGCTGAGCGCTTTAGAGATATTGCCAAGGGATTATCCCAGTCCCGAGGTTTGCACCCGATCTACCATGTGGGCTTTACCCGAACTGTCATCATCCTTATATATTGCTCAACACTCATCGGAAGATCTAAAGGATACCACGAAAAGAGTAAATATAAGACCAGCATAGGTAAAACCAAAGTTTAATCCTTTATATATCTTAGGCGGAGATAATTTTTAAGTCTCTGAAAGCACACTTGAAGAGAGCACCTTCCTTAAAAGGAGCTGCCCTAGTGAAATTATCAGCATTGAAGATCCAATCACAGACTTGGGAAGGATTCTCCAACACAACGGACTTATTGAAGACTCTTCAAACTTTGGATATTACGGCAGAATGCTGGTTTCAAAATATTTTGGAAATTTACAAAAAGAACAAGCTGGAACCGAATGATATAAGCTTAAACGGGGGCTCCCATGATGCGTAGGTTTCTGTACTATAAATTTGTAATCAAGTTTTTAATCTTTATTACCAAATCTCTTGCAGTTGGGCTTATCCAATCGTTTCCACCATATTCTATGACACACTGAGCCATTCAATCGGTCTGTATATTAATTAATTAAAAATTTTCAATATAAACTATAATATCTTCGTAAATACTTGCAGTTGTCCCATTATCTGTCATACTCATACCGTACTTTAATGCCGTATTGCCACCATATTTACATTATGCTTCTGTTGGTGTTTCCATTGCCAAAGAGATTTTGAGATCAATCACAAAATCGTTTGACGAAAAGGCAATGCGTTGTGTTCCACATTCTGTAAATATATTCTCGAACTATAGCCGTATGGATATACTGATACATTCGGGAGGAATGCAGATATCATACCACTCAATGCTTTCGTTAACTGGTCCTATTAAGGGAATGGCCAGACTACCTGGCCTAAATCTAACGCCGACACAAATCTTCTTTTTAGTTTCTGCTCAGGAACTATGTGCTGAGTCCAACTACTTGGGCATCGATACCAATGCTCCCGAGTTTGATAATATGTAAGTTATAGAAATTCTTTTCTATTTTTTGATTCTAATGATTTCAATTTCAGTTTGGGTTGGCTCGTTGCCCAAGGTGGGAGTGCGACTGAAGTTTTCAAATGTCCATCGGGATCTATGATCAATATACAAAAAACCTGCAATGTGCTTTAAATATTATTTGAATCGATCGTCACCTTCGACTATCTACTTTGTCTACGACCTGGAACGAGTTTAAACTGTAGTAGCTTTAGAGACCCTACCTTCTAGTATTGTTTTTTATTTGAAATGTAAAGTGTATATTTTAAATAAATATACTGTTAATAAATTGTTGGTTTATATTTAAATCATGGACTTTCAAATTGTACTAACAAAAAGGGATCAACATAGCCTGCCAAGAAGTTTCCAAAATACAAATAAAAACATATAAAATTTCTAGAAAATGCTAAAGGTAATCTTTACTTATGGATTTCTTATAAATCTTGTAGCTTCTTTAGCAGAAACTGACTTACCAGATAATATGAATGCAATTCTCATCAAATGCCCTAAAAATAATTTAAATCTAACTTGCGAAACCCACTTAATTGTTAATATCCATATGAACCCAAGCTTTGACTTGGAGAAATCGGAAAAGTTTTGGGTGGTCGATAAAGTTTTCGATCCATCTAAAGGAACAACATCAAAGATAATATCTCCTTATTTACTAGTGGTCGGCAGGGGCGAACCGGTTGTGATGTATCCTCTGCAGTTTTTTAAAGTTAGTTTATAACATTTAAATTTAATAACATTATAATTAATTAACATTAAACATAGACAATTAATCAAAATAAAATCAGCAAGAAGCCCTTAGAAAAAGAGGATAGTACTTCGGATATTGGAGTCTCTGCATCTTGTGCTAATAATGAGCAAAATCTTGAAACAAATATGAAAGGAGTTGAGCTGGAGATGAATTCATCAAGATGTAAGTAATTTATTTTTATATATTTTTATCTTATTTTTAATTTGAATTTTATTTCAGTAAAGAGAAATCAGCTTTCAGCTTTTCCCCAAAGAAAATCGTTTCTATCAAACTTATTCGGTAAGGAAAGGCTAGAAATGCCCCGCCAAATTTGGAATATGAATACGAAAAATAAAGATAATCCAAATGATATATCAAGCCTAGGACTTGTTCAAGTTATGGATACGGCTTCTACAAAAAGTAATTTAAATTTTTATTTAAATTATTTGATATTAATATTACTATTATTTATTATACAGATCCCCTAGAAATTCCTGGGGATATCTTTCAGTTACAAAAAGATTATCAGTTACTAAAGTCGATTCCAGATTTTAATCAAAAACCGAAATTCGAAGATCGCTCAAAACATAATGGAATTGAAAGCAAGCCAAGGTTCGACATTAAGAATATTAACACTCAAGACAATAGTGATATACGATATTTTAGTGAGGTAATCTAAGTTTTAGGTACTTTTCAGTTGTTATGTAAAAGTATATTTCAGGACTTGAAGCATCATGATCATCATTATACTGAGGGGAACCTTAAAAGACAGCATCACAATTTCAAGACCCCTGAAGAAGAGTCTGCCCTGGATTTAAAAAAACATGATCCACAAAATAATGAAGCCAAACCTGAGAAAGAGTATACAAATAACAAAACTCCTGAAGATGAATCAGAACCGGATTTAAATAACCAAAATCCGGAACATATTGAAAGGCATTATGAGAAAGGGTATACAAATTTCAAAACTCCTAAGGATGAATCTGGCCCAGAACATATTGAACAGCACCATGAGAAAGGGTACACAAATTTCAAAACTCATCAGGATGAATCTATGCCAGAATATATTAAAGAGCATCATGAGAAAGGGTATACAAATTTCAAAACTCCTGAGGATGAATCTGGCCCAGAACATATTGAAGGGCACCTTGGGAAAGGGTATACAAAATGCAAAACACCTGAGGATGAATCTTTGCCAGAACATATTGAACAGCACCATGAGAAAGGGTATACAAATTTCAAAACTCCTCAGGATGAATCTATGCCAGAACATATTGAAGAGCACCATGAAAAAACTCCTGAGGATGAATCTGGACCAAAACATATTGAAGGGCACCATGAGAAAGGGTATCCAAATTTCAAAAGACCTGAGGATGAATCTGTGCCTGATTTTCTCCTGTAAGTTTATAACTTTCTGTTAAAATAACCAAATGAAAATATTTCATGATTAGATTTGATCGATTCAGAGAGGAAGCTAGAAGGAAAAAAATTCAAAAAACATTTGAAAATGATTATGTGCCACCTGGTAAAACTCAGATGAAGGCAGATAATTTGTCCCATAAAAAGGAATCTGAAAGCAAGAAATTTGAAAATCCAACTAAAAGTCTATCTCATGAAAGTAAAAACGAAGACTTGAATTTGAAATCATGTTCCAATAAGAATAGTTTACCAAATGAAATAGAAAATGAAAAATATCAAAATAATTATCCACTTGAAAGTGAGAAGGAAAATAATTATATGAAAGCGCCAAGTAAGAAATTTTCCCATGCAAATGATTTTTCACGAGGACATAAGAAACAGCTTCGTAAATATAAACCACAATCGGTTAAGGAAGAAAATAATTTTGAAAATAATTTCAAAAGCCATTCTAATGTACAAGATTTAACACAGGACAGTGAAATAGACTTATATAATTTAAGGACTCCTATGGATGACCTCTACAATTTAAACCATTATGGAACTGTAAAAGAAAATAATTATTTTAAAACTTCCGATTATACTTTTCCTGACTTAGACGGAATTGATAACAATTACTTAAATTCTAAGGCAGAAGATCCTTATAAACATGACCATTATCTATCCAACGATAATGCTTTTTCAACAGATAATATTAAGCCCCATTTTGATGCTCCTATGAAAAGTCTATATAGCGAAGAGTTTTTAATGGGTACAAAATACGATTACACAAATTTACCTTCAGATAATACAAAGGACTTTTCGTGGACTCAGGGAACTATTGGTGACGAAACCTTAGATTTTATTATAAACCAACACATGAACCAAAAACTGCCAAGTAAGTTAAGAAAATATTTCATAAATATATATGTAATTTCTAATTTGAATTTTAGAAAATTTTGATTTTAATACTTTGAATACCCTAAATGATTTGACTTCAGAATATTCTATGCCAGATAATATCCTTAAATATTTAGATTTCGACTCCAACTATAAGATCAACCCATACTCAACTTACCCAAAGAAAGATTTTGCCAGATCGGTACCCTCCTTACCAAGATCTCGAAAAAGGAGTAAGCGAAGTAAAACTCCAGAGGAAGATATAGAAAATAGTGATGATTCTCAATCAGAATCTCTGGATCAGAATGAAGCTAGCGATTCTGATTCTATGAAATCTATAGAGGATAATGGTGACATTCCATGCGATACTTGTGGGGGTAAAAATAAAAAGAAAGGAGAGAAGAACCCATCAAGATATTGCAGTGCTGCTGCAGAACCAAAAAGCCAAGAAACTAAAATGGAGGATGTTATTCCCAAACTTAATGATGTCGTGCCATGCGATACTTGTGGTGGCAAAAATAAGAAACCTGATGGAAAACCAATACCACCAGACATGCCATCTGAAAGTAAGCTAAGAAAACCTAAAAACGAAGAGAACAGGCTTCCGGACGATATGATACCATGTGAAGATTGCAAGAAGGACAGTAAATGTAGAGATGGAAACCTAAAGTCTGCATCCTGTGGCTGTATAAGCAATCCAAGTGTATGTGATTGTCAGTCCTCTAAGACATCAAGAGCCTCGAATTCTAAGTAATATTGGTAATATTTTCTATATTTTTAAACAACTTTAACTTTCAGTGCAAACGACAAGGGCTATACAGTTTTTAGTTTAGAAAATCCTGTTCCATTTTTAACGACTAAACTGCGTGTTTTTAGAAGACGCCACAATACTTGGTGGAGAGTCCTTCCAATAGTTAAGTAAGTAAGATGTAGCTTTATTAGGAAAACTTACTTGATTTTAATATTCCCCCAGTCTCGATACTGTATCAGGAATATATGCAAATAAAGATCTATCTGCTGTACTAATTTCTCATGTTGATATGATAAGCTTGGAGAAATCAACAGGTTTTTCAAATCGAAAACTTGTGGTACCCAAAATAATTGATAGAACGATTGCTAAGAAAAGACATCTTAGTGTCTTGAAAGAATTGCACAATAGCATTGGCAATAGTTTTCTGCTTGATATATCCAGTAAGGATAAGGACATATCCATTGAGGATATTAAGAACTATATCAATTTAAATAGAGAAAAAGAGAAGAAAAAGGGAGGCTTAACAACAAGAAGTATCAAAGGATTGGGAAACTTTCCAGTTTCCATGAATGCCTTGGAGAATTGTCCTCATAAAGACAAGCACCTTTGCCTAAATATTCTGGAAGAAAAAGTTCCAGGTAAGAGTATTTAGGTTATCGTATATAGTTTCTATGTTTTTCCCATTAAGAATTCAGTATAAAAGTCAAGATTCCCTTTCGGGAAAATGCTCTTGTCATGCGAAACAAGCATTTTGTTAAGATATCAAGAATCATTACGGATGCCACCACAAAAGATGCTCTTCAGATTTCTATAGATGTTATAAACAAAGGATTTGAAGCTCAGGAATTTTCCATATATGTTAGTAATTGTAAACTTTCGAGTAGTACCCCAACAACAACAAGTGCCCTGAGGTTACTACAACCGGATATTAGCCAAACTGTAACCTTATTAATGCCTTTAATATTAGCATCGAAAAAGAACAAACAATTTAAGTGCGATGGTGAGTTAGATTGTAAGTTTTCTTTTACTTTTCCTTAGTTTACACCAAATTTTCCAGTGCTGGTTAAGCCCAGTGAATCGAAAGGTGATGATGAACCACCGATATATAAAGATGATCCAAAAGTTGGAGTTATTGCAAAAAGGACTATGGCGATTAAGCCCCATTCGAGGTGCTTTTGTGTTTGGCGCTGTCGCTGCCATTGCATTGGCAAGTTGGAAACTTTCATTAACTATAATGCCTGTGAGAGAATGGATGAAAAGTCGGAGAAAGAAGCTGGTCTTATATACAATTGTCCTGGTATTGAGCATAACGATGTGTGTATTAGGGACATTGACTGCGATAGAGTCGAAGAGGTTACTTGCAATCTTACTTGCCAAATCATAACCATTACAGTACTTCTCTTAATTTTACTGCTTTTGTTGGGTATAAAATATCATACTGCTGATCAAGAATTAAGATCATATAATTTCCTTATTCTACAGGAATTTTAAAAGCAATTTTCGGGATCTGCATTCAATGCATAGGTCGTTGTGGTTTCGATACTGTGCAACCTGGAAGAACATATGAATGCTCTTCCTGTATAAGGATATTCTTAGTTAACTGCTTTTTCTTCATCATATATCCCTTTGCCTGTTGGTGTAAGTTCTTCCGACCCAAGACTAAGGACTTGATGGAAGCTAGCTATGATTGGGATTGTACTTCCCAAACTGAGGCAACTCCTGAATGTTCCTGTGATGTAAATATAATAAGATATAGACTTTGATACATCATTAATAATTTATCTTTTAGACAAAGGAGTCCCACTCAAGTTGCCGACTTCATGGTGGCCAGGATCAGAATCTTAACAATAACTTGGTGCTAGCCTTTGCTCCACTCCATGAAAATGGCTTGTTTAAAGATGAGAAATCCGATGACGAGGAGAGTCATTTATTTATTTTAGAAGTTTTGGAGGAAAGCAAAAGTTCACTAACTAAAATGGTAAACTTTTAATGTAAATTTTAATCTTAAATATTAAACTATTATTTCCAGATGAGTCAAGTTTTGGTTACAGACCAGAAAGTTGAGCAATGTGAGGAAGGTGGTGCCCATGAAATAGCCGCTGAAGAACTAGTGGAAAGTCTTAAGAATTCACAGGTTGCCTACAGGACAATGAGTTCTCCAGTTGGCGGAGTAATTGACATTCCAGAGAACTGTCAATATTGTGTGAAAGGTTTCTTCTTGCAAACCCTGAACTCGACCTATGAATTCATGAGCTATCAGCCTTTAACACAGTTCGTAGGAATCTCAGAAGAGGTATTTATGAATATTCCAAAAACTATCATTCTTAGCTTTAAACATATTAAAATAATTGCTTAGAATGAAGTTAGGAAGCTTCCTCAACCTAAATATATCCACTCGAATGAGTTCTCTAAGATATACAATGATAAAATGGATGTCTACAAGGCAGCTGATCTCTCAGTGGTGCCTCCTTTGAATGTTCCTTGTATAAACATCGACCATGGAAACCATTTGGAAAACTCTTTTGTCAAACTGGCAAAGCAACAGGAACTGATAAAAGCTAATCAACCTTAAGCCTTATAATATTTATAATTTATGTTTATTAATTTTTAAATTTAATAATTTACATTCTTAAGTTATAGCTGTTTCCTAATTTAATGGGACATTGTAGGCGGAGTGTTCATTATTAGGATTGCTATCCTTAACTTGACTATCCAGAAGTATTTCTTCAATGCCCGATCTTATGTCTATTAAGCCACTGCCATCCGTAATCTCATTTGAAGAATCTTTAGGTTTCTGTGTATCAGGTGAAATTGTAGTTTTGTTATTTGCATTGCCATAATATTTAATAAAGTACACTTCCGGTGGATTTGGGCTGACTGCATCCACTTGCTGGCTTGGAACTGGTTCCCTTGTAATCATTTCCATATTTGTTTTAACTGTAGCCGCTTGTATTGGATTTTCTTCTGGCGTTATCTCGAATCCCGGATCTCTCAATTGGTAAACCGAAGTATTCTCAGATGCTTGACCCTGGTGCTCGTCCGCGGAATCGTAAAGATATTCACCATTGCCCACAGCTGAGTACAGAGGGTTGACTTGGTTTACTTCTCGATGGGCAGACTGGAGATTATTTCCATTGAAATTCGATGGTTGCAAGTCAACGGATGAATGTTTGTTTTCTGAATTAACATTATAGGCGTTGGTCTGGGATTGGGATACATAATTTATTTGTGGCTTCGGAGAAGTATTCGGTACAAGGTAATGGTAATGAATGTGCTGAACTGGTCGTGTATTCTGTATTTGCAATTGAAAATCCGTGGAATATGTTGAATGAGTGTTTACATGGGAACTGAACTGTGTTTGGGTAACTGATGGGTTTCCATTAATCTTTGGTTCTTGAGCAGCATTAATCTGAGGTATATCAGATGACGCATGTAGACAAGGGTTTCCCGGATCAACAGAGGAAGTTCGTGTAATGTCACCTACATAGGTTGATGGTGGCAAGTCAAACTGGTTACTTTCCTTGTGACTTATGCGATTTACTATGCGCGCCATTGATTGCGATTCAATGAGTGAATCATCATCTGATGAATGAAATTTATGATCTATGACAGCACAATCTCCAAGCAAATTTCCGATTATAAGTATAATAACCACAAATAGCACTCTTAGCATTAGCATTTTTTGGACAAGTGGACAAATGTATTCACAAGAGACAATCAACAACTGTCTCCGATCGGCTTGGCATTCGGACTTTATATGGATTCCCAGATTACGTAAATACTTACTGAATTGCTTGGATAATACGAATGAAACCCCAACTATGGGCTTAATCCCAAAAACCAAAGCACTCTGAATTTATTTATGTTTTTTTTTGGTGAAAGGCAAAGCGAATGCAATTATGGTGGCAACGTTAATTTGCGTGGGCTGCTTGGTTGCTCTAACTTTTAATGTCTACCAAATTGTTAAAATCATAAAACATATCTGATAATAAAAAGCTAGCTTCTGTGTTTCTCGAAACTTAAATACTCTCTGTTAGGGTATAAATTATGTAACTTTAGTGAAAGTTTTGCGGAATTTCATTACAAACTGAAGAGTATTAAAAAACACCATAAAACAAGCCATTCAATAATTATTTTCATTTAGCTCTTTATAAAGATTTTATTACTATAAAATGTATTACAACAAATATGTAAAATGACAATAAAATGAGGAAAAAATACACTATTACACACATATATATGCTTGCGAATGTAGTTAAGCCTAGAACTCAGCCCCAATGTTGGCCGGGCATTATCGTGTTACTTAATATAAATGCAAAATCACTGTAAAAATTTCAAACTTAAAGTACTACTAAAAATAGTTTTATTACTTGTTTTTTTTTATGTATTATTATTATTCATATTTAGATTCGATTGATATATAAGACATATATGTTTTTTGTGGTTTTATATTATGTTTTTTTTCTCTTTTTTTTTGTTGTATATTTTCATGACCTATGAATGAGCTATGCAGAGACACTTTAATATCGGCTTTCGGCTTCCTAGCGAATGGTTTTTAACAGGTGGTTTCTAAAAGTGGATCAGGCTTATAAGTACTCGTAAAGGGGTTTACATTATTAACAGTTGTGGTGGAATCTTTGGGGACTCGTTTTAGGGAGATGAAGTCTTCCAGGTGACTGGTACTCTGCACTGCGGCATCTCGACTCACATGAAGTTTCTCTTGTGCTTTGTGAGGGCCAACCAAATGAGTCTCAACCATGCCATCGGTTGATGGAATTTTACTAACGTTACGATCGCTGAGAGACAAAGAGATGTTTTTCTCCAAAGGCGGTTCACGGATCTGCTCAGACAGGCGTCGTATATTCAGAGGCAGTTCCTCTCTCGATTGAGTGGGAATCGATAGAGAGCTATGTCTAGAATGCAATTTTTCTACTTGAAGCAAAGATCTTGCTTGATCGTTTGGACAAAGCAAGTTACTATTGTTTTGATATACAGATTTTCTAACATGGTTCGGCAATGGACTGGAAATCTCCTTTACTTTATCCGGTAAAAAACTAGCGGACTTGCTTTGAATATTTCCTTTTAGATCGTTTGAAGGTTGATCGAGCGACCAGATCTTATGCGATGTATTACGATATTGTGGAGAAAATGGAGCAAAAAGTAGACCTGGCTCATTTAAGAATACTTGATCATCGTCCATCTCAGTTTTTGAATGCTTTAATTGCGGTTTAGCCCACTTTGATTTCTCAGTTCTTGTCGAAATTAGTTTATTGTTTATGGAAGAAAGGGATTTTTCACGATAGATATTTTTCTTGGGAAGCCGGGAAACTTCAACAGTGACATCCGTTTGTCGCTTGACCCACGGATCGTGATTGTGATGCATATTTAAATACTTTTCCGCTTTCGGTGACAAGCTATTCTTAATGTGCGAATTCTTAATCCACGGATCCGAGGGATACACTAAACAGCCCGTACTCCTGTTGTTGGTATCATAAAGAAAGTTAGCTTTATCTATCTCCACATTGTTGGGGGAAGTTTGCTCGGATTTGCTAATTTTATGAGTTAGCTGTCGATAAAATTGATTGTCTGAATTACTGGAAAGCTGTCTCGCTTTTTGGGAATCTTGTCGCGGTGATTTGGTAACTTCACTTTCGTCTGATATTATGATGGCCTGTTGAAAGCCACTCTTATGCAATGTCAGTCTCGGAGACAGGGCTCTTTTATCCTTTCCAATCGCAGTTTTTAATTGCAAGCACCCCTTGTTTGAATTATCTAATGCATTCTTCTCCGTTGTTATAGATAGTTTCGGGTCTTTGATTTTACTTATTGTGGCTAGCTTGTTACCAGTTTCTGTAATCAATTTGATTTTGATTTCCTCGTTTGTTTCCGAGTCTGACCCATTCGGCTTATGGGCCTTCTCACAGTTGCATATTATAGATGATGAAATGGATAAGACGTTTTGACTGTCCTTCAGAGATCTGTTAGATGCCACTCTTTTTATACTATCAGTATCGATTTGTTGGGACACTTTGTTATTTAAATATCGACCGGAAAGTTGGGTATGCTGGCTATTAAGATATAAGTTAGCATTCAATGGTGAATGTGGAGAGAGTACTGGAAGTGTTGGAGCAATATTTGGTTGTTTTAATCGAGAAACAAAAAAGCCATTTGACTTCATATCGGTTAATGGTGGGTCGTCTTTCCTATTTTGTTTGTTATGTCTGTTTCCGCACGATTTGCTTGATAGTTCCCTGTTTGGGAACTGTGGTGAGAAGGGTTGGGCTTTAGAATACGAGCCCGACTGTTTTTGCTAAAGAAACTTCTGCTCGAGAGCTTTAGTAGAACTCTGGCTGGAATTTGAGGCACCTGTAAAAAGACCGAACACACACACATTAGATGTAATCAAGTCAAGTGTGGGAGGCACAATTAGAGAAAAAGTTGAAAATTATGAATCGTAAAAAGTTGCATTCTTATTCCGAAAAAAGCAATTGTAGCAATAGAAAAAGGTTCACTTTCAAAGTATCAAAAAATTGCTTTATTCAAACTTTTTTTTTTTGTCCTTACATTATTAAAACCATATTACTGAAGCATATTGCTATAAGTTCATTTTTGAACTCAAATTAATTGGTTATTTGTTTGATTTTTCTACGAATATTATTAATAATTAGATGATATGACCTATGCTTATTTAATTAATACGGGGACCAGGATCACAATGCTGTAAATATGGGGGATCTTGGTGTAAAACTCCTGACAACTAACTGGTATTATATAATCTTTAAAAATGCAATTCTCGAATGTATTGATGTGAGCTATATAAATAATTACATTGCAATATTTATGATCTATTACAAACCATCGTTTTCATTCCGTTTGTTATTTGTTTCCACATTTTTTTTACTTGTTTCGCTTCCTGCTGCTGGGGCAGGATTCGGGTGCTTTGAACTTAGGGACGCACTACCGGCGGCAGGGTTTGAATTGGATATTATGCCAGATGTAGTGTCACTAACTCCTCCGTCGACATTATTCTTTAATTGTCATTTAACGAGCTCCACCGAAAGAAACTTGCGCAGTCGCTCGTAATAATGCGGATGCAGTTCAACGTCATTGTGCCCAGCACCCTGAAAATAAATACCATGAATTAGAGAACTGAACTCATGTAACATTGATATGACTGTAAATCCGATTAAAGCTAAGTTTATTATTGCAATGATGAGATCTTCCATTACTGCTTTCAATGCTTATGAAAAGCATTGAACTCGATACGAGACACTCAATCGATTTCAGTGGAAATGCTAGACTATTATAATTAATAGCGATTATTATTCTGGTTATAGAGTCGAATAACGTATGCAACAACCGGCTGTAAGCAGGTAATCAATCAAGAATAGTTAAATACAGGTAATTACCTCCACCCAAAACGGTTCGACAGTCTTAGGACACCTCTCGTAGATTCCGATGCCATGAGAAAAGTCAATGACCTCGTCGTCAGTGCCATGGATAACCAGAACGGGAGCCTTCACCTTAGCCACCTTATCAATACTGCAGGGAAATCCGATAAGATCAGAATTGGGGTTGATCGCAAATCAACAAATCAACTTACCTGGGGAAGGCATCAAAGAACCAGGTTCTCTTTGTGTTTCTAAAGACGACCCTTAGACCGGACATCAGAGGCGAGTGGAGTATCACAGCGCCGACTTCGTGTCGCGAAGCCAGGTCAACAGTGGGCACAGTGCCAATGCTCTGGCCATACAAGATGATTGTCTCCGGGCTGATGTTGAATCTGGGTGAAGGGTATCAATGGGTTAGAAAAGAGACAACAAGGAGGTAACATATAATATTATTACTCACCTGGTTCTCATCGCCTGCCAAGCTGCTTCTATATCAGCATAAAGATTCTTTTCGGAAGGTTTGCCACCGCTCATTCCATACCCGGAATAGTCGTAGCCAAAGATGTTGCAATTAATCTGTGATCCCAGGGTCAAGTAGAAGCTGCTCATCTGGCCCAGATCGACAGCGTTTCCATGGGAGAAGAGAAGCGTGTACTTGGCGTTCTTGCTGCACCTGACATAGATGCAGGTGATCAGGTTGCCACGCGATGTGCGCGTGAAAAAGGCCTCCACTTTCGATTTCTCTCGTTCGGAATACTGCCACTCAGCCCGATCGAACAACTGCAAATTGTACCGGATGTTGGTGTCATCCGCCGGAGTTAATTTGTACGTAGGTTCCGGTGGCTGGAAGGCCAACTTGGCCGCAATGGGACCCGGACATGGTGGGCAGCAAAACATGCAACAGAGCTCGCTGATACTGAACATGCTCGCTCCGTGCCTCGTATAATGCCTCTACGGAATGCTAACGATTTCTTTTCTAATGCACGATTACCATCAACAAAGGACTAACGGAGCTTTGGGTTCAGAGAGACTTCGGGGCTATTCGCATCTATATCATCAATCCGTGGTACTTGCAACTGTTCAATGGGCTAGGCGTCGGGGGTGACGAGACAAACATAACATTTTTGGATTCAGTTCGCACACAATATTCAACATAATCGAACGGAACGGTTAATGGCTAAATTGTCTTACTGAAATTTGGTACACTCACATTTACAAAATGGCAATGTAGATAGGCAAACAACCACAAAGAAGTAAGGTGGCTAAAACGCCCTAAAAAACAACGGCACTTTCGGTATTTTAAGTGTGACTGTATGTGTGACGACCACAAAATGCCAGGGAATCAACAGTCTATTTTCAGGGAACGAAATGGAATAGAAACGAAAGAAATGTTGGCAAGTTTAAATTTGAAAGATAACTTTGAGCTCTGTAATGGTTAAATATAGATATTAATGTTTCCTTCTTTTGTTTATTGAACTGTTTCACTTTTTGTAATGTTTAATCAAAGTAAAGCCTAAATTTAAACTTTATCATTAGGTGTTTTATTTTTGTGAAATACTTTTAAGTAATCGTTAAATATTATTCCTATTTTAAAATTTGTTTGTGGTATAATTTTAAAAAAAATTTTACACAACTAAAAATGTAACATATGTTTATTTTATTAACAGTAAGAGAGCTCAAAGATAAATAAGAGTAAAATATTTTTATATTGACGAACTTTTCTTTTTATTAAAACATGACTTTTAAATAGATGAAATTACAATTTTTGTTTGTAATATTTTTTGTTTCATTTCGAATAATTATTAGTAAGAACTTTAAGATCAGATCTAAAGCTCAAAAATATGTTTAATGTTATAAGACACAAACCCATAACCCATTACTTAACTCATAAAATGTCTGTCATGTCATGCACAAATGTTATATAAATAACGTTTTTACTAAAATACATTTTAACGTAAAAGTACGAAATCGTCCAACAAAATAATGCAATATAAGCCTTAAACTGCCCTCAACTTATGGATCTTTAATAACAAGACTTTTAATAACAAGACCTTGTTTAGTCGGATCTTCGAGCAAAGGAAGAGCTATGTAAATTACATCCTTTTATGCAATTAATACACGTTTCTAGCAATGAAGCATATGAATTTTAATATAAGATTCGTCCTTTAACTAGTACAAGACCTACAAATTATTTCCAAGGCAAAAACCTAGTGAAACAAATTTGTTTTCCCAAGGACTACGTTAAACAAATTTTGGACTCAAACGAGATCGTATAAATTCTCTGCCCATTAATAATGTTTTTCATTTCATTTTTAATTCATTAACATTTAAAAAAATCAGTACTTTATATCTAGTGAAAATTGTTTATAAATGAATTCCAACATCTTCTTTCTTTAGAAGTAACTTTTCTTTATTCGGATAATAGTCAGATTATAGGAGTATGATTAATAAAGGTAAAATAAAAGAAACTCCAAATTATTATTTGAAAATCTTATAGAGTAGATATAGAAAATTATATTCAGAGAAGTCTAGTATTCGAGAGTATTTTTAAAATCGGCTTACAAGTCCAACCTGCCTTCCTTGTAAGACATAACAAACTACATTCCTCGCCGTATCGACCGATAACCCCGCTGCTCCTTCCTCCGGAGGAGCATGGTTTATGTATGTGGATAGACGGATGGATGGTAACGAGAGCGAAGTATCCAACTAGGGTGGAAGTCAAACATATGTAAGGATGATTGACAGCTAATGGAAACAAAGGCAATTCGAATACGTGTGGTGTGCATGTGTAAGATGCAAATGATTTGCAAAACAAGGTAGGAAGGCAGTTAACCATTGCGGCCCTATTTTCGACCTGTAATCGAATTAATCGAGGTCTATTTATGTATTTACAACCTGTAGTTTGTTTTCGGGCTATAATCATCTAAGGAAACAAACAATAGATTAGATGTTAGACAGCGGTATTACCTTCATGTGGAAAAGCCAAAGAGTTTACTGAGATAACTATTATTATTTTTGTAGGCATTCCTCTGACGGCAAACTTAAAATAATGAATATATAAGAGAAAATCTTCATTTTCTTTCTTTCTATTTGTTAATATAATATAGCAATTAGTTAACAAATATTAGATATAGTATGGGCAGTTCTTTATTGACTTTAGAGATCTTCCAAACTCAACTGTTTACAATACGGTTTTTGTTTAAATAAAATGAGTACACAAGTAAATAACATAAAATTATAATAATAATAGGACCACTAATGAGTATGCTTCAGATACGAGTATATAGTATTATTTAACTCTAGGGATAACTATAACTTTTCAGAATCAAAAGACCGGCAGCGGGCCGTTATGAAAAAGCGGCGGTGTTTTCTGGTAGCAAGGTATGTTGCCATATTGGCCGTTGTACAAAAAACTTGGAAAGTACATGTGGTACTGCGCGGCAAGTTCGTGAAAATTGAATGGCAAATTGAACGGCGGCTTTTTCAACGCGTCGGCTTCTGGAGGACTAGCGTAATCCATATGCACTAATCCCTCACTAGCCGTATTCGTTGGATCCGGAGCAATAAGACTCTCGATGGTAAAAGCACGCTTTGGCCGCACCGGAAGTTGAGTTATAGTTGATGGAAGGATCGGCGGAATGCCTTTATAAGGCGATATCTGAGCAGCTGATGGATTTCCAAGATCAAAGTTGGTGGGGATACCATGACCATTCCGCGCTGGATCAGCAAAGGCCATCTGCGTTAGCTGGTCGTCCAGGTAATGGGAGACGGCCATCTCTGTATTGGCGGCGGCTAATTTCCAGTTTGATATATCCTTTTCCAGTTGTTTGACACGGAAACGCTTCCTCCTTCTCAGTAAACTGCCATTTTCAAACATATCAAAGGCCATCGGATGGAGAGTCCAATATGATCCCTTGCCGGCTTTAGTCACATTCCGTGGCACTTTGATGAAACAATCGTTGAAACTCAGATTGTGCCGCAATGAGTTTTGCCATTTTTGCGTGTTTTTCCGGTAATACGGAAACTGCTCCATAATAAATCGATATATCTCACTGAGCGGCAGCAATCGTTGCGGCGAATGTATAATGGCCATGGCCGTTAATGATATGTACGAGTAGGGGGGCTTCTGATCACCGTAGCTCATTTTCAATGGGCGTGGCATTGCGAAGTTGTTTTCAAAATTTCACACAGTCGGTCCGCACACAGTTGGTTTTCTTTTTTGGTTTTTTGTTTTTTTCTAGAGCGATGTTTTCTCGGCGGCAGCAGCGTTAAGACTAATACGAGGGGCAGCCAAACTTCATGTTTTATGGTAGTGTGGCGGCATATAGCACAGAGCTGGAAAAGAGCAAGACCGGATCGGAGAGTTGGTTCTCTCGCGCATACATACCCGGGTGGCATATCCAGTATACCGAGGGAGAAGTTGCCCCCGAAAAACTGGTTGCAGATCTGGTTGTCCTTGTCTGATTGGCTTACCAATGGGAAGCGAAGGTGTTGTTTACAGCAAATTTTGGAATGGGTAGCTCAGGAAGTTTGGACCAATCATCGGATCTGGGATTACCTATACAACATAGCTCAACACCGGGAGCGTGGCGGAAAAGCGTTTTGTCCCAGCGACAAGGCAACGAGGCCCCATTTTTACCCTTCGCCATTTTCAATTTTCTGGCAAAAGATAGTGCATGCGTGTTGTATAAAAGCACAATTGAAGGGTTGGGGGCGATGGTGGGGAAAAGCCCTTGATTTGCAAGCTTTTGTCAATACCTGTTTATTTTATATATGAATTGTGGGCGTGCCATAACATGAAATAATAAAGGAAACGCTCGTATTTCACTTCCCATCGCATTACTCCCCTTCACAAAATGATTTAAATTGTTTTGGCTTTCGCAAGGAATTGAAAAATAAATTATAAGCACAGCGGTATTTGCTTTATGATATACGTTTACCAGCTCTTGTTAAGCATATTAGTATAAATGACTTAGGGGTGATTTCCTTAAGACTAAAAATGATGTCTATGTAGAGATAACCTGGGTTTTAAAAACATTAATTTTGAAATTGGTTGTTAGGTGGCTCTGTAAAATGAAAATGAAAATGAAATGAAATAATATAGACTACAATCGTCAATTATGGTATTGTAAATAAGTAGGGAAAAAGTTAATGGGAGCTTTTAATGTAGGTAAGTGGATTTATATTCCATTCTTAAATAAAAATGATATTCATTTAATTTCTTCAGAAACTATAGAAACTATATAGTTTAAAGATGTTTCATCCATTTTCGAAAACATCGAACCCTTTTGCCCTGTGAAGTGCTGCGCTTACGTCGTAAAATCTGTCACATTCATGCCCTGAACTTGCTTGGGATTATTTGTGTTTATTAGTTATTATTATCATTATTAATTTAGCAAAACAAAAAGAAAAATGTAATAAAAATAATGATTAACATTGGCGGTCAGCTCGGACAGAAAATGTTTGTTCCTACAATTACAATTTTTTTTACACAGAAAACGTTTAATAAATGTTAGGAAACTTATTTTAATTTTAAATTTACTTTAATTGGGACATAGAGTTTTCAACATCAATTGCACACATTATTTGTGTTAAAACAATTTTTAAAAATATTTTTTTTACTTTTGAAAATGTGTAATTTCAGAAAATATATAATACAAAATATTTTCGATAGCGAAGTACTGCGAAGTACTATTTATCAAAATTAATATTAAGACCTTTAAATTCTTAAAATAACTTAACAAAATAATGATATCATTACATTTAAGTGATCAACAATAAAAAGAGGCAAACCTACTTATATGCAAATATGGGAAAAAAAACAAAAACAAATTAATTTCCAAGCAACGCGCTACTAGCTCAAAGATCCCGACAGACTGCTAACGAGATAATAGAGGTGTGCGCATAGAGAAGAAAGGAAAAACGTTTTTCTTTCTTTCTTTTCCCTCTTTTGTTAAGTACTAAAGGTAAGTTATTAACTAGTTTCTTTGGTTAACAGCAGCGTTCAAATGTACATTTTAATTAGAATGAGCACCAAGAGCCTAAAATCTTAATTAATTTTCAAGTAATGAGATAATTTTGGTTTGGTAATGATATTAATATCTTCAAAAAATATATCTTTATCTTTAGTTTAATAAACTAATAATATTACTAGTGCACTTTATTACTTTCCCTACACTACTACAACTCGATAAAATCGCATTTCCATAAATTTAAAATGGCATAAACATAAAATTATATTTTTATTTCCAAACTCCTGGCCGGAAGAGGGCGGGCCAAAAGTTTGAAACACATAATGCCCGAGTGAATAAGTATCAGTGATAAATTGAAGCACACATACATGCATAGGAATTCCATAAAATAAACAATAAATGCACTTTAAAAAATGTTAATGATGTGTAATGACTTTTTATTGATCCTCATTGCGAGGCAGTGGTAAGAATGTGAACTAAACACGATCTTTGTGGTCTTTTTAGTGTCAAGGATGCCAGCATTTAAGCCAAGACAGATGGCCAAGATGGGCCGTTAAAGCCAACTGAAAAAATAAAGAAGAAGTTCTGAGCCATTAACGCAAAGTTGTTGAAATCGTTGTATGTGCAAAACCTTTCAGTCAAACCAACTACTCGGTAATCACCGATCGATAAGTTTTTCTCCTCTTTTTCCCTGTCGACTCTTTTTTCTTTTATTTTTTATTTAGCACACCGAAACTCGGAGCGCTAAGATGAAAGCTCTTCGACCCATAAACTAAATCAATTTAGTTATTTCCGTCTTACCACTGCTGCTCACTCGCCTTGTTAATGAAGATTAGCGCTGATGAAGATAGGGAGAGAGTTTCCAATATAACGAGATCTTTTATAGGACTATACGATGGTAGCAAGTTTAATGCGTTTAATTCCCATCAAATGTTTCCGTGGACCAAATAACATATTTAGGAATATTATATCGATTTAAAACACTGTTTCGTTCTTACAAAAAATAAAGTTAAAAAAAAAAAAAAAGGAGATCCCAAGCGAAGACAAGATCTCTGTTGGTGTCGAGGATAATAACCGTCAGTATTTATTTTTTCCTATGTGTTGGGGATTTTGCCTGCTTTGTATTGCTTTATACTCGTAAGAAATAAATGTTTGAACACAACAGGCCGCCAATTTATTGAAGGCTAACACACTAATTTGAGGAGTTGAGTTGTGTTTACCCCGAGGATGTATGCTTGTATGCCCGGCATATCTCCATGTATGTACGTATGTTCGAATGAATCTTCCCGACAAAGCTTAAGTGCAGTGTTCATGCTTCTACCTGCAATATAGGAAAGCTAAGGAGTCCTGCCCAGTTGGAATTTGGCTGGTGCTGCGTTTTTTTATTGCGGCTAATTTAGTTTTTTTTTATTATATTTTATATATATGCTGGCCATATTATAGGCTATCAGAAATGAATCTAGAAATATGTGGAATATTTTTCTGGATTTATTAAACTGCATTTAATATCAAAATAGAAATTAAAGAATATAAACACAAGACCTCTTAGTAAGAGAAACCAATATAAAATCCTACCTTGGAAGAGTTTCCTTTTTATTAAGTTTTTCTTTTATAAAAATCTCTTCTTTTTTCCTCAAACATTAATTAGTTTAATAGTAATTTAATTTGAACATACCCATTTTATAAAAACGCATATAAGCCAAGCTAATGACATTACTATTATACCTCTAATAAAGAATGTAAAACCCCAACGACAGATTAGAATACCAATAAAACTCATATTAATTTTTATAGAATTTCTTTAGCTTAATCATCTCTTAGAAAAAATGAAACCCATAAGCGGATGATTAGTTTTTCATTCCTGAGATAAAAATTTGCAAAAACATTCGACCTCAAGATGGTATGGATAGTGCACCCAGCAGCCCAGAGGCGGATTTCCTACTGCCCCTATTAAATGGGCATCGGTCGGCTCAATCGTTAGTGTCGACGAGGTGAGAATGAACATCGTCAGCTCTTTCGCTTGGGTTATATCATTCACACAACACCCATCGCTGTGAATTTAAATCATAACCTTATTCATGACAGAGGGGCTTGGACTCTAGATGGCTGGATGCTCGATATAGAGCTGGGATGGATGTGGGTAAATGATTAGGCCGCCTGGCAGGCCAGAGATTCCAGATTCCCGTGGCCGATTCCTGCTTCCTCCGCTGAAGCGTTGAATCGAAATCAAATTAAACTCGGTGGTGTTTCTCCCAGTTGCGTGTGTGTGTTTCACTGGAGCTGAGGAACTGTAGGAACTGGAGGACTGGAGGAGGAACGCATTGTATATTTTGCAATTTGAACAGCCGCTAGTTGCCGGCACACAGACGTTTATAATTCGCCGAGGTGTGCGTGGTGTGGTGGTGTGGTAAGTATAATAAGAGGTGTGCTCAGACATCAGGCTAACAAACAGGCCGCGCACAAGCAGCCACAGTAAAAATCACTTCGATGGAAGCCATAATGGGCCCGGGCCCGAGCTCCTTTCTACGAACCGAGAAACTGAGATCTGACTACCAATTTAAAAATGCCGCTTTTGACTTTGCGAGACAGAGTGGCGGTGCGGTATTCTCCCTCTGCCGGTCTTTTAGGACGGTCTTTCATTCGGTCGGTCGGTCGATCAAGAAATACCTTTAGATGATGCTGATGGTGCGATGGTAGGTTGGTGCTTTTCGCACAGTTCGTGCTTAAATACAAAGTAAGCTGTTAGAACCATTTGCTTTTCGGCTGCTCCTTATTTCCCTTTTTTTTTTTAATTTTTTGTAGCCCCCTTTTAGTTAATACAATTCTATATTTAAACACCATATAATATGGGGTTTAGGGGTCTTAGATAGTCCAGGGAGAGCGTCCTGTCATCGAAGCTTAAATTTTAATCGATCTTCTAAGGCGGAAAAGCCATCTGCTATCTAAAATCGACAATTACTTGGCCTATTTTGATATCGTGTAACCCCGTCGAGGGTATCTCCAAATTGGTCAACACTTTGCCGGCCACTTAAAAACCCTTTTCAATTTTTTAAGTATAAATATGGTTAATCAGCATCAACACCCGAGTCGAGCTCGAGTGCAAACTAGTCTGTGTGTGAAACTAGTTTTCGGTGTTGAAGCTACTTAGCCGATGCTTTGCCCACACTCCTCTCAGCTCGTGTGTTTTGCTCCACTGACGGATAAGTCGGTGCCGCAGGGGCAAGATACTTCAACATATGCCTGCCTGCAACGAGACTTGCCTGCCAGTCGACCAGATCGATCGCATGGGAATTTCAGACGATCAAAGCGGTCTGTAGGATTGCTCTAATAAAGTCAGATAAAGCCTACTTTATACATTTTCATCATGCCGCGACTCTGTTAAGCTAAAAAGGGAAAATTAAAGCTTTGGTTGTTGGGTTGTTGGGCATTTTCCTTAAAGTTTATTTTGCATTTCATTTTATTTTCACAACTCAGCCTACTGCAATTGGTAATTTTAAAATTATTATTCCCCTTAAATTGTTTTATTAAGCGTGGCCGTTGAAAAGTTGCCA